TCGCACATAGTACACATGACTTGTGGGGCGACTTGTTCTTCTCTAGCTCACTCACTTCATATGGAACGTGAAGGTGGCAGCAAATAAAATAAGCCTGGAGTGTTCAATTGCTATCGCAGAAGAGATAAAAGCGAAAGTAAGTGCAGTCGCGGAGGGAAAAGAATGGGTCGGACGATTACGTGAAAATTTTGAATTTCAGCTGCCCATTCATAGGAACTGAAACTAGAGCATGCTAGAATTGTGACCAGCGCATGTAGTAAGCTCGAGAAGATTGGCGTGTGAACACTATAGATGCACGCGCACGTCATATCCTTTTCATGAGCGCAGAAAAAAAAAGAAAATGAAACATAAGCATGATGGGAAATGTGACACGAACACGTGGGGGTGGTTGAAAAAGATTTATTATATTCGGTGCGTAAGCACTAGCTGTTGCTGGCCACTAACGCGAAAACGGCGTACCATGCAGTGATTGCAAAGAAACACGAGAAGGAGCTCAGTACACATGGATGAGCGCTGGACTTTTGATTGATAGATATGTGGGATTTAGCGTCCCAAAACCACCATATGATGATGAGAGACGCCGTAATGCAGGGCTCCGGAAATTTCGACCACCTGGGGTCCTTTAACGTGCACCCAAATCTGAGCCCATGGGTCTGCAGCATTTTCGCCTCCATCGAAAATGCAGCCGCCACAGCCGAGATTCGATCCCGCGACCTGCGGGTCAGCAGCCGAGTACCTTAGCCACTAGACCACCACGGCGGGGCAGCGCTAGACCTTTAAGTGTGCTTTATTGAAGACTACACTGCCACACGACTTTTATTTCCCGCATTCACATCGCCGTCGCTTCCCCGGGTCGATGTTCCACAACATGGAACACTTAAAACTACAGTCTACGTAGAACTTACTTAAAATATATTTTCCCGCTGAGGCGCTCCAGCTCTTTTGACGTCAGAAACCAGAATAACTACACTGCCACACGACTTTTCCCGCATTCACATCACCGTCGCTTCCCCGTGTCGATGTCCCACTACCTGGAACCCTTAAAACTGCAGTGTACTTGAATTTACTTAAAATCTATTTTCCCGCTAAAAAACGCTAGCTCTTGACGCCAGAAACCAGAATAACTGTGGTAAAAAATAAGGACGTATCACCACATAACACCTATATACTGGCACTATTATCTTTGTGATTTATATTATAAAAAGCTTCTAAAATCTCCCGCCCATATAGTATCTTGTCTTCCCTAAATGGCTACACGATAAATCACCGGCTAATAATCGGACGAGTGCGCTGGACATCGGATGGCGCTTGACTTTCAACTCTACAACTGTAATATTCTAGTACACTATACTACAACAGAGGAAACTGATGATGTTGGCTATGGATGGACAGATGGATTGATATGGCTGTACCCTTTTAGATTGGGCGACGGCTAACGTCACCTAGCCGTAATACTTAGTGAATCAATACTGGATTTATCTTTTTTTTCTTCCTTTAAATAGTGAAGTTGAGGACTGATACTTTGCAGCGAAGGATTTAATTTTCACTCGTGCCTTGATTTTAGCCACTAATCAGATAACCTCCTTCTAGTTATTTCTACCCGCTTAAAGTCTATTTTGCCCTCGCTGTCCCTAAACCCAAGTGCTTTGAAAAACCGGCTATCAAAGTCTACGAAACCGGGATGGTAGCCCCTCAGGCCCTCCGCATTCTCCAAAGCTCAAGAGTATCACGCCCCATTCTCTCACTTGGTTTCCCGCTCACCTACGGTCGATTGAAGGCTCTACCTCTAACCCGAACGAGGGCGCACACGAGGCCGCGCGAGGACTCACTGACCGCGCTGCCTCCACAGTCCCTCTGCCTCGCTGGGAACCCTTACTTACGTTCAACGAAATAACAAAGCACTTCTATCTGTCAAAAAGGGTATTCCCTCTCCCACACCTAGCCTTGTGCAGGGCGCAGGCAGTCACCCTAAGACTATTGCAAGCCAGTGCGTATCCTAACCCTGCGGTTCTTCATGCCATCTACCCTGAACGGTATCCAAGTGCGGATTGCCCCGCTTGTGGACTGTTAGCCAAATTCAATCATGTGTTGTGGGAATGTGAAGCCATGCGTCTTCTCACTGCGTCTTCCTGCGTCTTCTCACTGAGACAAAAATAAAGTCTCAATCAATCAATCAATCAATCAATCAATCAATCAATGCCGATTCTCCACATGTCAGTCTTCGTTTCCTTCACTTTCTTCTTAACCGATAGTTCTTTTTAATTTGGCCCCCTGATCTTTTTTGAGTATTTACCCGTCAATTTTCTGGTTCGCTTCCTCCATTTTGTATCGAAATTCCTCACGTACAAGTAGCTGAAAACCTTCCTAGCCCAACGCCCCTCCACCATTTCTCTCAATCACTTCTCAAATTTTATCTTGCTGCTAACTTCCCTGCCCTCAAATGATGTCCATCCCATATCACCTTGTACTCCCTGATTTGGTGTATTCCCGCGAGATCCTAAAGCAAGCCTGCCTATTCCACGTTGCTTAATTACTAATCTCGCTTGAGCCTCTGATCTTATGCACAAGACCACATTGCTGAAAGCTAGACCAGGAATGATGACCCCTTTTTATATTCCTCTCACAACATCGTACGTACCTATTGTGATTCCACAGTGCCCCATTTTTCATCACCGCTGCATTCCTGTTACCTTTAGACGTTACGTATATTTCGTGTTCCCTTATATATACTCGGTCCCATCGCTTATCCATACACCCAGATATTTGTATTTATCTGTTATCTCTAACGTGACCTCCTGTATCCTAAGCTCACTACCTTCATTATTATCAAAAATCATGACTGCTGATTTTTTCTTACTGAATCTGAAATTCAACCTATATATCTCCCTCATTACCGCAGGTGCCTATAAATATCTGCAAATCTTCCTTGTTGTCTACCATTAGCACTATAATCTAGCTGCGTACATCAATGCTGGCAGTGCCCAGCTGTTCAATGAGTTTTCCTTGTTTGACGAAAGAGAGGCTGAAGCCCATTCCACTTTCCTCTAATTTGGCCTCTAATACTTGTAGGTACATAATGAATAAAAATTCAGGGTGACAGAGGACACCCCTTCCTAAGCCCCCGTTTTATCTCTGCGGGCTTGGATGCCTGTTTTTCCCACTTTAAAACTGCCTTGTTACCTTTATATATATATATTCTTTAAAAGATTAGTGACGCCATCTTCCACACTTACTGTGTCCAGTATTCCCCACAAATCCTCTTGAACCACGCTATCGTACGCTCCCTTGATATCCAAAAATGCTAGCCACAGGGCCCGTGTTCCTTTTCTGCTATTTCGATGCACTGCGTCAGTGAGAACAGATTTTCTTCCAACCTCCTGTGTTTCCGAAACCCATTCTGCAGTTCCCCCAATACCCCCTCATCCTCTATCCATGCCTGCAGTCTTTCCTTTATAATCTGCATCGCCAGCCTGTAGACCACTGATGTCACTGTTATAGGACGGTAGTTGTTTATGTCAGCTTTGTCCTTTTTCCTTTATAGATCATGCTCATCCTGCTAAGTTTCCATCCCATCGGGGACTTCACCATCGATTATTGTTTTGCTCGCTGCCTCTCTCAAAGTCTGCTTAGACTTGGGACCCAATGTCTTTGTCAGCATAATTGGGATGTCATCCGGGCCTGTTGATGTACTACTAGAAACCCTCTTCTTAGCCCTTTCCCACTCTCGTTGTGAAAATGGAGCCACTGCGCCACTTGCTCTATTCTTGTTTATTAAGGTGCTTAGGGCACTTCTTTGTTGAAATTTTTCTGTCCCCCTTGTTCTTATATATCCAATAGCTTCGTCCCCTTCTAGCCTAACACCTTGAGCTGTAGTTATAAACCTCTGCTCTAGGCTTAAGTTGTCCCATTTCTTAACGAGTTTACATGGTTCCGAAATTTTGCATCTTCCTTTTTATCCTTTTTATGTACTTCTGCCAGCCACTCCCCCTTTCTTCTAATATTTTCACTGATCAAAAGGGACGCTTTCCTTCTACAGCTTGGAAAGATGTCCCATTTTCTTTTGACATCACCTGTTGGTTCACCCCGCTGTTTGTCTGTGTTCTCTAGAGGATTCCTGACGTATTGCTATGGCTCTCTTTAGTTCCTCATCCTACCAACTCTTGGGTTTGTGTCTCGTTTTCCTGGGTGACTTGTCACGTCCCTTAGCAAGCTCTAGCTCACACAGTCTAATTAGATTCGTGTACATCCACACTGTTTTATTATCCTCAGCGATTTATTTCTCAATTTGTTTAGTAGCTATTTCTATTTGCCTTTCTGAATAAATATTCCCCTGTAGTTGCTCAACTTATCTCCTTCCCACTTTCATTGCTCTTCGAAAACTTAGCTTGATACGTGGACGCTAGGGCAACGCCACATTAGTATCTAGTACACTGTAACATTAGCTGCAGGCACGTGGCGCTCGAGAACTAAAGGAAAAACACGTTAACCAGATCTTGTACATCGTGCGCGCGGCAAGACGAAGCGCCATTTACTATCCTCACTTTTCTGCATTAAAAGTATATGGGGCGTCTTCCTACCTACAATAATAGCCAATTACGCGCCATGTCTTTGTGTTATCGCCGTGCCTAATAATATGTAGAGTGACGATTAACAGAACAGCTAACTGCCGTGGCTCTTACCATGGTCCCTCAAAAAGTATTAAGGGACCATGCTCTTACTTAGAAAATGTGTTCTTGCTTTCCTAAACAATTTTTATGTACGCCATGCGAATAAACTGAATTCACAATATGTACTTCATGCGAATAAACTGAATTCACAATATGTACTTTATGCGAATAAACTGCATTCACAACACGCAGTTTATTCGCATAAAGTACATAAAAGTTGTTTAGGAAAGCAAGAAAGGAAGAGCCACGGCTATGGTGGCCGCCATACCACGGCTGCATGGAGATTAGGCGTTGCGTTGGTAGTGTATATTTTCGGCCACCAGGTGGCCCAGAGATATTTGGGATGGCGGGTGTTGGTTAATGACTTGACAAGCCGCGCGGTTTGTTTTATCAGATCAGGCATAACTTTGGACATCTATGTGGTCGAGATGAGGGCCGTTTCATTTCTAGATAAAGTAGAGTACGAATTTGTGGGCAACTTTCTGCAGCATGCGATATGTCTCGGAGATGTTGACAACGACAAGGTGAGACTTTTATCCATGCCTGTCCATGCTTTTGTCAGGGTCGCACATTTCTCGCACATTTCCTACATCACCGAGGGTGTCGTGCGGGCTGTTGAACCGAGCGAGGGTTTTACGTCACTTCAAATGCATTTAGTATGGCCGTCGCAGAATATCAATCAGTTGACATGTGGAAAAATGATATTGCGGTGTTATTTCGGGTGTGTGTGGGCAGGAGACTCGTTGCTACGCATCGTTTTGCGACACGCTACGGCAGTTGTACTTGGTTAAAAAAACAATTGTGGCTTGCCCTTAGAGGGAGCACGACGCAATGACACTAGCAGATGTGGGTCTACGCTTCATTTTATGGATGTTTGTGAGATAACTTTACAAGGGGTTCTTCATGCGTCGACGCCAACATGTTGCTGTATGTGGGGACTGCCAAGTCACTGAAATTTTCGCTTCAAGGCATCTCATGTTTATATTTTATTGCGCGAAGTGGACGCAAAGGAATAGAATGAGAAAGCCCCAATGTCAACCACTAGCTGAAAGTGAGCATTGTGGAAAATAAAGCTAACGCAGAACTTACCTGTGCAGCTCTGTCGCCCTATTTTCATGCATACCTCTCGAAGTTGGTTTGCATAAGTTTTGTGTGTATGCTCCTTTGTGACCAAGTACGCCCGTTATGTTGATAGTTAACGTTCGGGTTGATTAACTAACTGCTCCTGTTGTCATGTTTGCACGGTTCACCTTCTTTCACTTGTGTTTTTCGATTTATGTTCGTGGGTGGTCAAAAGTTTCCACGCAGCAGTGCTATAGAATTAGATGCTGCCTCAAAAGTTTTGACCATCCCTGTACTTGTTGAAGGGACCCTGAAACACTTATTAAATATGATCGGAAAATACTGCCGATTGTCACTCAAGGCTCCCGAGAGCATATGGGCCGAACATCATGGCATTGCATATGGCCTGGAATTCAAAACAAAGTTTTCAATGTGGGCTAGAAATCGCTTGCTCTTCTTCCGAACAATGATGCCATATGCTCAATCTGGCTTATAACACTAACTTGAGTTACATCCATGAGCAGATTGAAACATGTGAGCTGCATAGTTACTGCAAATTGCAAAAGGATCAAAATGTGGGCCAGTTGGTAATTCATTTTCTTCGTTCAGCGAACTGGGAGCGCAGAGAAAACACAAAGGACGAAGCGAGGAACCACACAACACGAGCGCTCGTGTTGTGTGGTTCCTCGCTTCGTCCTTTGTGTTTTCTCTGCGCTCCCAGTTCGCTGAATGAAGAAAATGAATTACTGCAAATGCTGAGGCTCACCAATGACCTGCACCGCACTCCGTAGCGCAGAATTTCACCCAGTATAGCATTGCATTATTGGCTCATCATGCCTAAAAGAGACGCATGTTCATGAAAAAAAAAAAAAAAAAACCCTCAAAGTCGTGTGTGCTGATGTAAAAACGTAGCTTCCCCCCACCCCCCCCCTTGCTATCAACCTACTCAGTGGGACCTAAGGAGAGAAAGCACTCAAGGCGTGCGACATATTTGTGCAACTTTTCTCGCCAATTCTAAAATTTTTACCGTGGTCGGTTTGTGAGGCAACAAATTTAAATAAGTAATTCGATCATTACAAAGCCTTTTCAAGGGATACTGAACAAAACTTTGCCACCAAGATTTTCAGCCAAGTTGAAAGATTAAAACTAGAGGAAACAAATGAATTTAATGAGGCTTTTTATAAACCTCCTCATTTAGCTGTGGCATCTTGAGCTAGAGGAGGTGACTTTACACTTGCCGAAAACGGGCACCCCGACAATGCCAGACGCCATCCATGTCTCTCAACCTACTCGTATCCCCCGACGGTTCCCGAAACTACTATGAGCAGCGGCAGCAAACAATGCTCATGGCTATGGTAAAGCATCAGCGCTTTTCTGGAAGGGGAGAGAGGGATGAAGGGAAGAGGACAAGAACACTTGCTGCCTGCATGCACGTAGGGGATTGCGACGTCACTGCTCGCGCTCGTTGGCAGTTGCCACGTGCTGACAATTCACCCAAATTACTGCTGAAAACACGTGAAATAAACTTTTGTTTATTGGAATAGTGATATCTCCAGAGTAGAATTTCAATGTTTTTATGTTTTTTTTTTTCAATTTTCGTTCAGTATCCCTTTGAGGAACGCCAAGTGTTGGCGCCAAATTAATCCAGGGTTCCCACTACCGCATGCTGCGTAATTTTGGCGCTGTTTTTGCTCATGAGGCCAGGAACCTATTTTATTAACACTGGTGTCCTTTAAATCCCTAGAACATTGAACTGGTGGCCGGCAACCTTCAGGGGGATCTTGCTGTCTTCAAGTTCCAGCAACCTAGACCGTGGGCTCTGGCATCGAACTTGGGGGCGGTAAGACACTTGCAGTGTTGACATCACTTACGTGTGCAGAAAGGCAAGCTACCTTTAAACTGCAGGGGATGCTGCACTCGTCGCATGCGATGGCCTGAGAAGACACATTTTGTCTTTGCAGTTGGTGGCAGCTACTCGTCATTTCGCTATATCTTGCTTGTTTTTTTTTTTGCTACCTATGTATTTTCTCAGTGTGAGCCCGTTTGTCATCTCCACTGTGGGAAACAAGTTGGGTCTGCATTACAAACGTAGCGATGCCTGACGAGCACCGTCTCTTGAATGCAGGTGGCTGCTGTGATCGTTGGCGACATCCTGAATGATTCTCAGGTGAGGTGAAGCTAAGTGCCACGTGCACTCACACATTCTGCAAAGCATTTACTATATTTCTTCGGCGTGCACTGAAGTTTCCACTCACGGCAACAACTTATCTTGACGTTGGAGCAAAGGCTATGGAAGGCCTCCACACATTCGTGTTGCTTCGCAAGTAGTACGCAGGGATGGAACAGCTGTGCAATTCGCGCCATGGGGCAGAAAACTTGTTTACCTGCGTCGAACCACCCCTGTTGCGCCAAAATTGCTTATTAGAGCCGTATCTACGCCGCAGCACTTGAATTTAACCACAAAGTGTCCCATGCTCGAAAAATGTGGCCACGACATTGTGTTTTCAGTTTCCTCGAAGCAGTTAATGTTTAGGTTTCGTCAAGGGCGTGATCGCCCGAGCAACATGCTGTGAACTTTGTTTGTGAAGTCTCAATTGCTGGTGTGCTGGCGGTATATCTTTGCAGGCATCAGCGCAAATAGTTTGTAAACCCTTCTACGTGCTGCACTCTCACGTTAAGAGACTCTGCTAAAAGAGCATCTCTCTAGTGATTTGTAAAGTTATGCGATATTAGATCCAAAAGACTTAGCTGCTAGCTTTACTTCGTTTTTGTTGCTCCCGCATTCACTGTAACTGAATTTTTTTTTTCATAACTTGACGGCAGCGAGTTCAAAAAAAAAAAAAAAGTGGTGGTAATGGGGCTCAAAAGAAGCGGTGGTGGTGTCAGGCTCCCGCAATAACCTAGTGAGGACAGGTGCACAGGACTGCTCATCAAGCGCATACACGTTTTCTCATTCGTTATATTGCTGGGCTGCATTATACATCACTTATGAGCTCGGCAGTTGACGCTTACGCATTCAGGTAAAAAAAAAAAAAAGGCGGTTGTACTTGGATATGAAATCAGTTGCACCGCAAAGGATCAGTAACGAACGCGATAACAACAAATTCTAATGCTGTACGATGTGAGGTGAATGGCTAACTCTTTTGGATGTGATTTCATGTAACTCTACAACATGCTGGTGTGAAAGAATATGGTCACACCAGGGAGAGCATTATTTTTTCTGCAGTCTTCTTTGGGATGAGAGCATAGCACATCAAAGTGCATGAGAATTGCCTGCTGATGGCGGCCGAGCTAGCGTGCGTGCCAGCAACGGTGACCGTAGTTTTAGAACCTCAGTTCAGAGTTTCTGCATGAGTGACCCCCCCCTCCTGCCTCGTTTCATTCTCGTTCAAAGCAGGCATGGCATTCCCTCTCTGTTTCAATGGGAGGTCTCCCGAGGGGTGCTGTTATCGCATGCGCCTTCTGAGCGACAGAGATGGGTCGACTTGATTGATTCCTGGTTCAGCAGATTTCGTCGCTCCCGCTTGGGCACTTTTACCAGCGGGCAAAACACACGTTATCATACTTGTCAACTCTCCTGAATTATTCAGGAGACCCTTGAATTTTGACTTAATCTCCCGATTCTACGAATTCCATCTCAAATCTCTTAAAATGTGGCCGCCACAGAAGAGGCGTTTTTTTTTTGTTCTTTAAATCACTCGCTTATACGTAAGCCTTTCATGCTACAAGAGTTGTGGTGCTGTGTAAGAGCACTCGCTACTACACTTCCAATTCATTGTAACCATACCGTAGAGTACCGTGAATCTGGGCAAAGGCCAGCGACCATGGAACCCACTCACCATCATGTCAAAAAAAAAGGCAAGGTAAAAGGTACCAGAACATATACATCTGTCTGCCTTTGGCCCCCAAATTTTGTACGCCAGACCTGTTCAGCTTGCTGAGGCGTCAGTTGTTTGTTACGTGGTTGGGAAGGTCGTGTGTTTCCCCTAGTTCAGTTGGGAAGTATATGGCGGTGTCAAAAGCAAACAAGTACTTGCATGCGTTTCTGGACTCGCGCAAAACTGAGTTTCCATGCTTTCTGACTTTGCGGAAAGGTGGCAAGTACGGATTCCGTACCACGTGTGCCTGTGATATAAGCGTTTCACACGATGGCAAGGCTGACACTGCTACACAGAAGCATCAGAACGACTTCAGTAAGTTTCATTGTAGCGCATGCAAAAACAACACACAATGAAGTTAGCACCCTGTGTCTATGTGTCTTCATTTTGTCCTATCTTTTACGTGTGCTACAAGAAATCTTACTGAAGTTCTGCTACCAACAAGCACGCATCTCATCCTTCATCAGCACTACGTTTGTGCTGAAGAAGGGCACGACAACATCGAAAGTTTCTTCCAAAAGAGCTGCGAAGACAGTCCGATGCACGCAGAATGCCTATTCTAGGGATTTCTTTTGGAACACAACTTGCCGCTAAGCTCAAGTGATCACGCAGGACCGTTGTTTCGGAAAATGTTCCCGAAGTATGAGGAAGCAAAACGGTATGGGCATGGTTGCCACTGACTTTCGAGTAAAATTCGCCAAATGACGTGTGATAAGTCACCACAAGTAATTTCTCTTTAATTGCGCGAATAATGTTGCCACTTTACATTCGTGCGGCATGCCTAGTAATAAAAATTGCGTATCATTCACAACCCCCAAAATATATTGTCGTTTTTTAGCGCCAGTCACATCACTTGCTTCACCATGGGGGCACTGAAAAAGGACATACATGTACTAGCAGCGTCCTTGAATGCTAGCGCCTCGTAACAAAATTTGTGATGGTTTCAGTTGCAGTGAACACAGAGCGAAGTCGTCGCTACAACAAGAAAGAGACGGCGTGCGTAGCCTGCCTGCAGATTTAGAGAATTTCATTGTAGTGGAATCATGTGTCCGATAATCAAATAAATTAATTACAAAACAATGAAAATAAATTAGAAAGTACACTGCATAACCGTGTGTTATTAATTTAGACTATATACAGGACATGATGGCGACGGGGAAAACCTGTCGATAGTGTCCACGTAATTGATATTTCGATGATAAGGCTATTGTGTAATTTAACCTGGTGTTTGAAAAATGTCGCATTGGACAAATGTAACACCACAAGTACTGTGAAACAGGGCTACATCTGATCTGAATGTTCTGAGTGTTCCTAACTCGCTCCAAAACGTCTTTCTGAATGCTCCAAGCCTACTACATAAGACACTTTTGCCTGCTCCATGGAATTTTATCAAACCCATCTACCCTGTTCCAACCTTGAGTACGGCAGGTTGGGGCTGATTTCGGTTTTGCTTGCTCACATTGTTTACGCATTTTGGAAAGTTCTATAGATAAAAATGTGAATGGGTGAAACAGTTTGAGGATTCGGTGTACACTTTAGTGTCATATTTTTCTTGAACTAAACAGCACGTTTGTGGCTGCACACTCACTCACTATGTCATGGATGCCACGCTTATTTTGGAAACTACGTGGGCTGAAAAGGCGGTGCTGTCTTTAAAAATTTAAAGAAAAGTAGGGCGTTCTCTCTAAGTGAAAAAGAACTATTTTACTTATTACTTGCCAGAACTGTCTGAGCCTCATAATAAATAAGGCAGTATTTATTTCAGCAAGGCCAATGAGAAAAATTATCACTGAACTTGAGTTCTATTTTCTCGCGCGGTAGCAGTCATGTGCTTCCGTTCTGTCGCTTCCACAGTGCTGTCAAGAAAGGTTGTCGCCGAGTATAGTTAGAAAATTCCTTAGCTCTTAAAACCTGTTCGAGGTTTACTGGAGAGTTGCACCCTGTTGAGTTTCTGAAGCACCTCTCATAAAGAATAATTGAGTAGTTTTAACACAGTTCTTTATGCCCATGTTATTGGGCCTTGATAACCAATTTCCTGCAGAGTTACCAGATTTTTAGTGCTCTCAATAAAGGGGTCGTGAAATGAAAATCAAGCTGCCCGCTTGTAATTTTTCTGACTTAAATAAGGATTAGACATGCCAATTACAAAATATTTCGGCACAATATCCAGCTTATAATAAATCATGCTTTCTCGAAATAGCAGTTTTCTTGGGCTCCTGAACGACTATGTGACCCTACTGGGTGCCGTAGGCCCTAACCCGTCACGTCAGTGAAATTTCATGGTAAGAGAAGTTATAAACAGAGGGTTAGCTTTCTTTTTCTCCAGAATGATGGGCTTATAGGAAGATAGGAAAGAAAAAAACAAGCTGCAATTTTTGTGCTTTTAGAATAGTATATTGTCGAAGTACAGTAAGTAATCTCCTTCGTTCTGCTTTTAATTACATCCGGGCTCTATCACGTGTTGCCTTTGCTTACTCACTACAGCGTTCCAGTGTTTTTTTTACTGGTTGCATTAGGTTGTGTCTTAAGGCATTTTTAAGGCGTCTTAGTCCTCGCTGAGCCTACTGTGTGCGCCGTCAGTGCCGCATAACCTATCAAAGTGGAAATAACGTTTGTGATGTCTTTACAGCGCCGCGACTGGAACAGTATGTTGCTACGAACCTCGGTCAAGTATCGCTCAGCAAACGATGCTGCATCAGCATGGTTTGTCGACGACACTTTGGCTGTCTTTAAGTGACGTCAGCTTTAAAGTTGATGGGAAAGCGAGCAGGGCATTGAAATAGGGCTTTTATAGCTACTAAATGAACTTGGACGATAAAAGAAGTTGAGGTATCTGAATGGAGGGTCAGTATTCTGAATAAACATGTAGTTGAAAGTTTTCGGAAGCATTTCACCACCCCTTTAATCTGTAGCAAGTCCGTGCAGCACCTGTTTAGGCAAGGATGATAGCATATGAGAAAAAAACACTTTGGATGATCCGATTGACTGTTCAATATTGCATCGAACATTTTTACAGTTGTTGGCATATTGCTTTTGTTGTATGATTGAAACAGAAAGCGTCGGGGGGGGGGGGGGGGAGGTGGGTGATAGGTTTTTGACTTGTGTTTTTGCTATAGAGTTACTTCAAACTTTGTAGCAAAGTAACTTTGTTCTCTAAAGTTGCTCTTTCACTGCTCTCTCCACAGTCTTGACTATTCAATCAAGTGTCAGTGCAGTTGTTACTCAGTTTAGTAATTGTTCTCTTCCCTTTACTGCTCAACAGAACAAGGTCCTCAGCATCAGCTGTGATGGCTGGTGTCATATGTTCGCTCTGCAGGCAGACACAAATGTGAGTATGGCTTCACTCAATGATATTGACAGCTCATTCATTGAATTGCTACAGTACTTGGGTATCTTTTTTACTTCTCAAATAATCCTTTTCAATTATCCTGGTGTTGTTTAGAACTTGGAAACTTGATTTCCAATCTGGGGCGTGATTCTCGATGTAGCCACCTTGTGGACTATGCCTTTTGGCCTCCACTGATTGGCTGGAGTTCGGCGAGTAGTTTCTATTTTTGGTCCTTCTTCCGCGATGTGATTTTAATGCCACGAAGCTGTCACAACTCGCCGCAAATGAGAGGGACGCCATGCATTTCACCACAATCAATGCTGCGCTCGAAGATCTGTTTTTGGCTACACATCTCTGAGGCCAAGCATGTACTCTAAATTACGTAGCCCTTGAATTAGGTTTAATGTGGCTATCGACCTAATGCTCCTGAAAGGTCAGTACGCATTCCCTGCATAGTTTTCCAACATCATAGCTCATATTCATATGCAAGTTCAGACTTGTCAAGTTTGTGTTCTGTTACTGTGTATTTCATTCACTTGCATTTCTTCATACTGGGAATGTGTTGGCCGGCTTGGTGTGTCGACATGATCAAGAGCGCCGTGACATCATGGCTCACTGTTTTATGAGTAACTGAATGCACTCCTCAGAAGTGTATAATCCACAAGGTGGATACATGGAGAATCGCATCCTTGGTCTATAGTGGTAGCAAATGTGTGGACTGTCAAGGGAAAACAAATATGTACTATTAATGCAGTACAAAATGAAGATTGTACGGCTGACAAAATGTACAGATAAGCGAAATACAGGAGTTGTAATGAAGAGGAATCATAATTACGGCACTCGCATTCATTGAAGTGTCAGAATATTTAGCCAGCGTGTTTAATGGTCATCACTTTGTGCTGTTAGCATTGCTGTTTTGTTTCCGGAACAACTTAATAAGTGGTAAAACAGTAAAGCCACGTGCATGAAACCAGCCGTATGGATACGTGCGGTGTTTTGCGACCTTAATCAATGTAGCAACATACAGAACTGAAAAATTATTCTTGTAAAATTCTGACATGGCAGTGACTATGAATAGAAAATAAAGGCATCTACATAACCTAGGTATGAAAGACAAAGCTTGAATAATTAAACTAGTGTATAAATGTGCACTGTTAGAAAAAAAAATCTGCACTTTAAATCTTCTTTTATATCTTAAGAGAATTATAGTTCTGGATTAAAAGAATAAAAATAAGAGTATGAAAGAAAGAGTAATTTGTAGTAACACTGTTGCTTCAGGTGATGACCAGTAATTTTAACCATCTGAGGGTGAAAGATGTACATGCATGTCATATGCCAACAGCCACAAGACTATCAAAGACGTAAATTGATGTCATTACCCATATGTTTTAAACGAACTCCCTTTTTTTATCATAATTATTGCTTGGCACATGCTGCGACATTGCGGGAATAGATGGAACTTTTTCTAGTGCCATTGTTTCTTTGTCTATTTTTTTTTTTTCAGGTGCTCTATTGCTGTGATGCACTGGATAGTTTCGGTTCCATCTTTCTGGAGATACTCTGGGGAGATGCATTTCGTTGCGAGATATCGACGTTCACAAGGTTAACAGAAAATGGCACTGCATCGAGAAAATAATGCCTCAGTCAATCATTCCGCTACTGGCTACAATACCGAGAAAGCCTGAAGCAATCGTGTATCAGCTCTGTTTCTGATGAGAACATTGCCACACGAGGAGGCTGTGCAAAACATTTGCCGAAAAGGCTGCAGCAGTTGTACATGACTGCATTTTTATTGGATTTGTGCCATGCTTATGATTGCAAAGTGAGATATCGTGAGCTGAAGTGCAATGCTTTGAAAGAGCCGGCTGAATGTTTTGTGAAGCACTCGATTCCAATTATTCAAGTGTAACACACACAGACACTTGAAAGCAGCTAGCCAAATGTACTTTATGGCAGTGTTCACTGCTTTTCCTTTACATTGGTGCTGGAAGATAGCTGCGTATTTCTTTATTCTCTTTTTGCCATTAGGCCTACTGTGGTAGTTAGGTGTTGCTCCGCTAAACAACGATGGGGCAGGTTTGATTTCGTATCAAGTTGGCTGCGTTTTGACCGAGGCAGAATGCGAAATTGCCCGTATACTTTATTTATGCGCATGTTAAAGAACCCCGGGCAATCGGTATTCATCAGTAGTTCCCCTCTGTGGCATGCCTCATAATCACGTTATGGTTTCAGCATTCAGAACTCTATAATGTGAGTTTTTTTTGTTTTTTTTTTAAGGAGGATGATCGGAAGCAGCTCCAGCCTTTCCATAGCCAGAGATTGCCCGCAAACACAAAGATGGCCCTGCTGGCTGACATCAGTGAGTTACTCTGTTTTCTTTTCTTATTTTCCTGTCAAACTTTTTCTTTTGTGTGGGTGGGTAGTTGGGGGGGCAAGTGGGGGGCCAATGTTCAGCCTCTATCAGGAACATCAATGTAAACTTGGAAACTCGCCCTTCGAGAATCCCTTTTATAATATGAAGTTGGAGTCTTCAGAAATATTGATTTAGATGGGCTTGATGATTATTGCAACGCGTCCCAACTAGTCGACGTCCGATTTCTCAGACGCCTGAAATTCCGGGCATACCTGATTTCCTGGACTCATCTGTGGCACCGTTAAGTTCCGCATAGAGTCAATGTATGAAAAAAGTTCGAAATTCCGGACGTTTACAGATTTGCCTTCCGATTTTCTGGACTTTTTTACCGCTAACCAAAGACTCGAAGTCGCTATCAAAGCCACCATTTTGGTTGTTTCGGACCCTCAAACCCATCGTGCCACGGCTGTCGTACGCTCGAAACCGAAAATGCTGCAATTCAGCACATACCAATCCAGCCGCAGCCTCTGGCCGTAGCTTAGGCCGCATGGTGCTATGCAACCTGTGCTACGACAATGGCAAAAGCTATGCTGTTGATTTTTGGTCTGTTGTCGGCATGCTTGCAGACTAGTGGAAGGTGGTTACGCAACAGACCCTTCGGAACTGTTTTTGTCATGTGAGCATCATACTGGACGCCGAGGCTGCCGTCTCGCCCGGAGTGGACCACGTGTGCGACGCACTTCCACCTGTGAATATTGTTTTCGACGATCTGCAGGTTGCTGGTGTTTCGATTCCAGCCGGGATAACCCTTGAGGGCTTCGTTGATGCTGGCAGTAGTGATCCAGCTGCGCCATTTGCGCCAATTTGCTACAATTATACCTTCCTGCGCCTTACTGCGCAAGTGTTGTTTTGTTTGCGCCAAATGCGCCAAATTGCACGAAAGAACCCGACTTTAGCGGATGTTCATTTTGCAGTTGGCAACAAGTGAATTTTTTTCTAGGTTGGCAACTGTTTACCATGTGCTTTGCAGCTTTGGTATTCGTCGGTGTCGTTCGGGTGTTTTCTGTAGGTTTTCGCGCTCATGCACAGCACGTCGTGTCGTTGCATGTGCGCCATGTGCTTGTGAACAACCAGTCAGCGAATGTTTGTCATCCCCCCGCTGTTGAAATGGACAAAAGTAAGTCGCTTTCTTTTTAAATTTTGTGGCATTTCTTAATAGCGCCCGTGAAATACTTTAGTGAATGCTTAGGCGATCGCGTAGCGCTGCTGGCATTTATTACCGGCCGCACTTTGCTATTGAATCAGTACAGAAGTTGCAACTTGCCTATAGTTCTTCCGATTTCTCGCTACTGATGGTTTTTGTGTTCGGAGTGTCCGAGCGCTGTACGTAGGCTTAGGAATGTGCGCCGTGCCTTGTTTCGTAGTGCGGAATATCCGCATTTGAAACGCGCAATCGCTCGTACGGCATGCAGCAGTTACACCTCCTACATGCTACCGTTCGGAACATATAATAGTGCGAAACGAACGAGCGAGTGACGCGGAATACACAAAGAATTTCTGCAGGCGGGTCGCTTTTGTTGACGTTAGCAGATCGCTAGATGGGCCGTATGTGCTGCCGGCGCGTCACGGATCGGGCGCCCCACCGTGCGAGCTGCTTGTAGAATAGTCGGAAAAGAGTGATTGAGCGTCGACCATGTCAACACAAGCAAGTCAATAAGCACCGTAATGTTACCGCATTAGCGGCCGCCGATCGTTGGGAATCCGCTATTCGTGACGTGCCGTTCCCAATCAGCTTTTTAAAATATTTAATTTAAGGAAAACATTGCTGTCGATTTCTGCTCTGGTCATCGCGCGCCGCGCCGGAAGGAAGCAAACCTCCACATACATTAGCGCCTTATGCCGCCTTGCCAGCTGGGGCAATGCGTTTGTCTGCGGCCGTCAGACCCACGCGTCATCCGCATGGCAACTTCCTGTAAGTTGGTCGCGAGTTTTAGGTGTGAATGGTCGACAGACAACTGGCATCCCGATTCGCGCCATTTGTCGAGGCTGTACCCAAAATGCTTGCGCAAATATTTGGTGTTGGCGCCTTAGAGTTGGTATTTAGATCTTCCAATGAAGTAAGGTTGGCATTATGTTACGGGCTACCCTAAAAATAAATCTAGTAGTTACGTGCTCTTTTTACTAGCGTGCCTTTGTCGTGGGAAAATTTACAAGAGCGGAACCTTGGGCTAGTTGGTGCGTAGTCACATTTGCAAGTTTTTTATACTGACGCATTGACTAGGCTTGTATTTTGTCATGTTTTTCATCATCCTTTCTTTGGGCATATATATTCTTGCCACTCTGTGATATAAAGTTAGAAGTCAGTGCTCTTTCTGTCTACCCTGTTGCTTTTACCTATATTCACGCTCTGAAAAAAAACTTGGCAAAGTTTACTGTCATAAAGTTCGTTTCGCTCATGTTTTCAGATCGCAACACCAAGTTCAACGCCTCTGTACTCAACGAGGTGGACTCCAATAATGATCCGATCAGTCGGTGGTGCAAGAGTGGAACCCGAAATACAGATGCATTTTGTATTCTTTGCAACTGCACCATTTCTTGCGCACAGCATGGAGCGGCAGCAGTGAAGCGTCATGCTGGGATGAAGAAACATATTGATGCAGCTGCTAGACACAGAGACAAGGACGGGAATCTTCTTCCACCCAAATTGGTGCAAGGCACACTGGACTTCTCCAACGGGTCTGCTAATACATCACTTGAGCACCAAGTCAGCAAGGCAGAAACTACTTTTGCTTTGTCTGTTGTGGCCAAGGGAATTCCTTTTTCATGGGGAGACACGGCAACTTCGATTTATCACTGCATGTTCCCCGACAGTGACATTGCCAAAAAGTTTAGTTGCGGCAGAATAAAGTTGGCCCGCATTGTATCAGATGGACTGGGTCCCTACTTTAAAGGACAAGTGGTGACTGAGCTGTGCCAGCCAAATGTCTATTTTTCCATTATGATTGATGAGACGCCAAAGCCAGAGCTAAGGGTGCAGCAACTAGATGTGCTGGTACGCTATTTTTCCAGCAGCCAACAGGAAGTTGTTGTTGAACATGTCCAGTCATTTGATCTTGGGCGTGCAACCGCTGAAATAATTGTTGGCTGCATAGAAGAAGCAATAGCAGATCTTCCAAAGCAAGGACTTGTTTGCTTTTTCAGTGATGGCCCTAATGTTATGAAGAGCGTAAGAAACAAGCTTCAGAAGCATGTGGCACCAAGTTTGATTGATATTGGCAACTGCAATCTTCATAAGGTTCACAATGCATTTGGCAGAGGCCTGGATGCATTTGGCTTAGATGTAGAAGAAGTAGTGAGAAATATTTACTACTACTTCAAAGGTGCTGTCCGCGCTGAAGCACTCAGAGAATGCCAGGATACTTTGGGAATCTCTTGTCATGTATTTCTGCGCCACGTTTCTAATCGCTGGCTGACGCTACAAGACTCACTTTGCCGAGTTGAGGAACAGTTTGAAGCGCTTCGCACCTATTTTTTTAAGGGCAATTCATCTCGTCAACGACCTGACACCCAAAGCCTACACAACAAGCTTGTGTCGGCATTTCTGAGAAACAACTTTTGGCCAAAGTGTTGTTCCTTAAGAACTGTGCGCAGCTTTTCAGTGGATTTCAGCTGCTCTTCCAAAAGCAAGAGCCGCTCTTGCACATACTTCACGTTGAACTTATTGTTCTAGTCCAACGAGTCCTCAGTCGGTTTCTTCGTCATGAAGCCTTTGCAGACAAGACCGCTGAACAACTGAAAAGGCTAGATGTGATGGATGCATCCTTTTGGAAATCAAGGCCGGAAGTTGGTACAGATACTGAAAAATCAATGCTTGAGTGGGACTCTAGTGAGAAGAAGCGGTTTTATCTTGGAGCACGTGCTTTTTACTTGGCCTGTGCCAAGGATCTTCTTCAGAAGCTTCCACTCGACAATAGAGTTCTTCAATCTGCTAGCCTCCTCAATTGGCAGTCAACAAATGTTGAATCGGAAGTGCGAGCACTGAAGTACCTTGTGTCTCAGCTTCCACAGGTAATCAAACATGAAGAAGTTTCCTCAGCCATCGATGAGTGGCATATGTTAAAGTGTGACTCAAACAGTGACCTCCTGGCACTTGGAGGTGAAAGAATTGATGTTCGTTGGGGCAAAATATTTGAACTGAAGTCTCCTGGAGGTCAACCAAAGTATCCATTATTGTCGAGGCTTGTCAAGTGTCTGCTGTGCCTGCCACATGGCAACGCAGACTGCGAACGAGGATTTAGCGAAAATAAGCGCTTTTATGAGAACCGCTACTCATTATGCATTGCAAGCATTAACGGGTTGCGCCAGACAAAGACATACCTCCGCAGGTATGATGGAGATGCCACTAAAGTTCCCTTGTCTACAGAGCTTCTGCAAAGTGTAAGGAGATCTAGAGCCCGATACACAGAGAGAACTGCAAGTGCACAGCAGTCAGAAAGCAGGAAAAGGCTTGGAGACCAAGACACTGGTGCTGATGTCGACGAAAAGCGACTTCGTAAGAACTTGGAAGAAAAGGTCACCTCAAGTAGGGCATTGCTGAAACGAGCAGAAGACATAATTTCTTCTGGTCTGCGTTCTAAGAGCCTGGAACAAGTTGAAGCTGGGCAAACTTTATTAGCTGAAGGCAACTCCGCTTTGAGCCAAACCCTCTCACAGCTGGAAGAACTAAGCAAGAAGGTGAGCAAGAGGACGTAAATGCTGCAACATGCACATCTTTCTTCTGTAAATAAATGAAAGTTCAAAACTCTCCTTACAGTTCGGTTTCTGGGAATTTTCGTCGTAGCTTTTAGTGTACTTTAATAAACTAATGCTACACCTGCACTACCTTCATTTTCAGTAGTGCATTAAATCTGATGGACTGGTCCATTTCTTGGTGGCTTTTAAAATCGGCATGCACGTGACACTCTAATTAATAATTGAGAATTGAGACAAATACGGTTTTATAGAACTGTGGTTGCTATCACAGCTTTAGTTTCAGCAATAATGAGAGATGTATTTTTGTAAAATAAGTTGCTGCTACAATTGCTGCTCCAAAATCGAGTGCCGATACAAAGGTGCTCCAAAAGAGCATTTTCTCTGCTCCAAAAATTGCTCCAAAAGTTGAAGTGGCTGGATCACCACTGTGCTGGCAAAGACCTCATGCTATGTGTGGAAAAGTAACTGATGATGAAATCATTCGTCAAGTTATAGAGGACTCCGACGGCTCCGACACCAATATCAAAGAAGCAGCGCCTACACAGCCAACGATCTCGGAGATGACGCAAGCACTGACACAGTCATTAATGTACAGCAAAAGCATGAGGTTAAATGAAATTGAGGCAGACATAATCGTGGGCAAGTGGAGCGTCGCACAAACGAAAATAAGTGACTTTTTTTTCCCCGCCTAAGTGTTTACAAGTGTGGTAGCGTCGGCCACATCAGACTTTTTTTTCTTTTGAAACGATGCATTTGCTGAATTGCAATGAGAACCTTGTACTCCTACTACGACCCTCTCCGTCAGCAAAAAATACCTATTAAAAAGTGTGTTTTCACTTGCCTTTATTTTTTCGGACGTTTTTGCGGTCCCTTGAGGCTCTGGGAAAACGGACGTCTACTATATATAATGCACAATTGGACGTCTGCTATATAGCATGCACAACAGTTTTAAGAAAGGGGACTTAATCTATGAGAATAAGAGCATGCAGATGTTTCCTTGAGTGTTGTGAACGTGCGAGTAACCTTTATTTTTTGATGTTTATAAAGGTCAAAATCAATTATTTTACAGCAATTAGGTAATATTTTAATTGGGGTGTTCTTTAGAGAATCACAAGCAGTGTCAAACGGGCATCTTTCCAGCAAGGTGCGCAATTTGTGTTTGCTTCTACTGTTAAAGAGAACAACTGTAATATGAAAAATTTGGCTAGTTGGGCCAAGTGTATACAAGAAGAATATATTTGCTTACATTAGCAAATGCAGGAGCTTATGTATTGCGACTTTGTTGTCTGTCCTTTCTATGCTTCTGGGTCTTGTTTTGTTGTGCCTCTTGCCAAATTGCTTAGCGTTCCAAATGGGAAAAATATGCAATGTCGCTGCACATTTGTGTAAGACATAAAGCAGCATCAGTGCTGCCTTAGTCCCTCTACTGCTTTGACAGGTTATGGCCTGCTCTGCCTTGTGGAATACCAACTGCAGTGCAATCAGTGGAGAAAAAGGAGCACGATAGTTATCAAAATTTGCATAGTTCACGCACCAAAAACCCTGCGCCCTATAATGATCGACTTCCTTTTAGATGCTTCACCGCAACACGCTCGTGTAATTTGTTAAGTGGGGGGCGTGGCAGTTAAAAATGTGTTAATTATTGGAATGAATTGATGAAATTTGGCATGCTGATGGGACTCGTTATGCTGATATTATTGATGAAATCAGCTTTAAGATAGGTGACAATGCATTCAAAGCATCTGCTTGCATTTATTTTGTCGCGCAATGTCTTCATTAGTGAGGGTTGGAGCCGAAATCCCCTGCTGAATACTCGTCACGTGAACATCTACCGTTGGCAATGCGATGTTGCCGTCGCTCGCAGAAGCACGGTCCACACTGCTCTGGGACATGTCAACACCACACGCGGACCCCTAAACTCTGCTTGCGGACTCAACACCGCCCACAAACTCGTCAACACTGCACGCGGAAGTGTTGGCACTACACGTGGACGCGTCGCAAGCGCTGGTCGCATCGTCAATGGAGCACGCGCTGTCAACATGGCCCACGGTTGGGTTGTAATCGGTGCATACGGACACGCTGTCACAGTCGCATACGAGCAAGCTGTCCCTATCTCCCACGTGTGCGGGCTTTTCCTGATTGGGGAAATTAGTGGCGTTTGCTTCTGTGTCCAGTTTTATCCTTTTATTTCATGGGGTTCGCAGTTTGGTGTACACGTGGACCGTGCGGTACTTCACTCCTTTGAGGCTCATCAGAACATGCATGTTGTTGCGGCGATCAACACAGGAATGAACAAAATGCGCATCAGCCAGGAGTGGCTCTCTTCTGTGCAAATGCACATGAAAGCCATTCAAATCTCGGACAACCAATAGGGGTGCGCCATGAGCCCCTCGTGACTATTGCAACTAATCGCGATTCTACTTTTGTTCTTTTTCGCTCGCTTTTCCTGGTTTTATCTTTCGTTGTAGAAATACGGCACGCCAGTTATCTTCAGCTCTGATCTCCCCGCGTCACAATTATGCAAAAATGGCAGTGCTCCAATCCGCAAGAGCTGCACAATTCGTGGCGCGTTGGCACCTCCTGAAGACAGATTTTTTCGCGGTTTTCGACAACACACGGATAAAGTGCTTTTTTCTCTATTACTACTGCGTAGTTCATTATAATATTTCACCAAGAGGTAAAGCAAGGTTCGAGGATCGCAAAAACAAAAAAACAAGTTTAAATATCGATAAGTTCGAGCAAGTTGATTGTTCCAATTGCCACGTCCCCTTTTAAAGAATGCTATTATACCCCTGTCACACGAGTACGAAAAAAGTCTTTTTACGTAAGTGGTCTTTTATAAAGTTAAGACTACTAATGTAAAGTCATTGCCTCGCAGACACATGGCACCGACCATCTTGTTTTAGTCTTTTCTTCTGAATTCGCATGTGGAAGTGTGGTGCTAGCCTTCAAAAAAGAATCAATCAAAACATAATTACGTGTATGGATGTATAGAATCAGATCTCCTTCTTGGATTACTGCAGCTGTTGTGTGCGCCCATGGCTTCTCGCTGAAGTGCGTGCGACGCGCAAGGCGTTGCCATGTAATCTCGAGCCTGTCGGCCTGCTTACAATAGTCCTCAAGAAAATAAGCTTTAAATGGTTCATTAGGCATTCTACAACATATGAAACTTATTTGTATGATGAGCCTAGGTGACGGATTTGCCGATTTTTTTTCACCAATTCATAATTTTTGCTGCGTAATAGTTTTGAGGCTACTCTTTTATGGCCGTGAAAGAGATCAACGATAGCTGTTTTCAAAAAAGACTGCTTCCTAAAAATAAGATTGCCTGTATTTGTGTTTGCATGCAAAACTTTTTCGCAAAAACTCTTCTTGCTCGAAAGGCTTCGAAGTGCCCGTGTGACATTCGGACCCTTTTATAGAAGGGTGCTGAGACGCTGATGTAAAAGACGTTTGTATATGAAAGATGCAAGTGCACCTTCATTAAAATAAATGTTGATCAGAAAGTGAGAACATAGTACCCTGCTTATAGGAGAGAAATACATGATATAAAAGACTCTAATTGCTCCCCTGTGCATGTCTCTTGTAAAGGGGTTCAGCTGTAGCAGAGTGAGCTGCCTTGCACCGAAGCACAATGCTTGTATTCGTTCGTTATCGGAAAGAGTGCTGACACGCTGCTACACCTCATAATCTCTTCATGAATGTGCGGACGAAAAATAAATTATTAGAGAGCTTGTATGCCTTGGACATGGCTTTGGTGAAACAATTTCGCCATCTCCAGAGACTGAGGCACGTGGAGTTCGTAGACAAGCTCAAATGCCCTTTTTTTTTTATTTTGAAAGTTCACAAAACATGCGAGCTCTCTTGTGAGCCCCTGAACTTGGATGTATGTAGGTTAAACTATACTGCCTGTAGCATTAAAAATGGAATGCTGCACAATCTACTGCTGGGTTTGTTCCCATTTCTGTTGAAGAAGATATTTTCATTGGAAATAGTCACGTAACGTGTTCTGGTTTGCTATGCGTTTTTCTTCAGACAAGGATGGGAAGATGGAGCTAATCCTTGGCCTGACTGATCGTGTTGTGAGGACATACCAGTGGAGTTCACTAAGCGAGGTATGTGCTGTCTACTCTAATGGCAAATTCCACTGGGAGTGCAGGAGCACTCAAAAGCGCGCTGAAAGTGCTCCTTTCACAGCCGGCATGTTTCAGTGGTTGAACAGGCACAGAAGCCCTGTCATCCATTGGTAGAGCCAGTGTGCTTTTGCTGCGCCGAGAAGCAGCCAGGTGCACTTTGCAGTGCTCTTGCCTGAAAAGTGGAGTAGACGTATTGCGACGAGTCACATGGCCTTTGAACGTCACACACAGTTCCCGAATTTTTCTTCATCCCGCGAGTGCGGCGGCATTGGTAGCAACCATGTGTAGTTTGAAACCACTGTTCCGCTGTTTTGCACGGGTGGCGACGATGACAGCTGGACATTTGCTGAATGCATCGTTGCACAAACGTACTATGTATTAGGATAAGGAACAAGTGGCCGTCTGATTTCGCGTGCATTTTGCTGCTGCCCCACAGAGAATATGCCGGGGCCTGGATTGTTTCAATCACATAGTCTCCTCAATCGTCACCCTCTCACCTGCTCTCCAGGAGCGTGCCGGATTTCAGTGGCAGAACGAGTGGCTTTGCTTCCAGTGCCCTGTCTGTCAGCCCTCAGTGCCCTGCCCCTCTACTCCTGTTCTCTCAATGAAATTTGCCAAAACTAGTTCGTTATGCTGACGTGGCATGCTGTGCCATAAAGCTTCTCACATCATTCACTATGAATGTTGATTATGGCACTTCAGCTAAGTGCAAAACTTGTTATGTGCCATGTGTACAACTTTGCACATGGTGCTTCAGCCATGTGTGAAACTTGTCTCCAGAACATGTCCTTTATGGATTGTGCAGCTATTTACTTGTATCTTCCTGAACTTCATCTGGATGTGCTTTGCCTGAGAAGCACAAGCCCGCGAATGCTCATTGACCTGACCATTCTTTTGTGAAGCCATCAACTGAACAATGTTCTGCTTTCATTTGCAAGTGAATAAGTGTGGCATAGCAAATATGGCACCTGACGTGCGTGTTCACAATTTAAATTAATGTTTTGAAATCCTATGTCATAAGTAGAGGCCGAATTTATGGGCACAAAAAAAAAAAAAAAAACTGGATATTAAGCACCGAAAATAGGAAGGCAAAACACTGTTGTAGGCCCCCCAAATTGTAAATATAGGCACAATAATTAAAATTTTCGATGAAATATGTGTGCAATGTGTGTATAAAACTGGAAACCAAACAGAAATGTTTTCTTTTATCATAGTACAAAGGCACCACAGACCTAGCATATATTCATGCAATTATTTTTTTTGCAGGGTTTGCAGAATGCGGTCTCTCCTTTTCTAGTCCAGCATGACGAGTGAAGTGTGAACCGTCCAATAAACATGCTTCAGGGTCTTTCTTTTCGGCATGGCTGAGATGGGCAACACAGGAGCAAATAGTTCGAGCACTAACTGACCAGAAGGGTCTTTTTGCTTGTAATAACTTGGTCTAACACACAGGGTCAATTCCTCTTCTGTCTTAAAGGGCCCTTAACCAGGCTTGAGAATTTCGGGCAGGCAAGAGGAATGCATGCACTGGGCGCTTACGATCTCATCTGCCAAGATTTCTAATTACGCACCCCGAAAGATTTCTAATGCTACGCACCCCAGACTGAACGCCGCTTGACCTTAATCCCGCGGGCATGCACACCAACATGGTGAAAGTGTCGTATTCAATAAGGAATGGTTCTACCAACGTCTAAGTAGTGCGTTACGCTGCGAGAACTTTTCGAGGCAGCATGTATAATTTGTGCAGTCTGTTGCCTGAGTATAATCCCGGCTGCGGCGGCTGCATTTCCGATGGAGGCGGAATTGTTGTAGGCCAGTGTGCTGAGGTTTGGGTGCACGTTAAAGAACCCCAGGTGGTCAAAATTTCTGTAGCCCTCCACTACGGCGTTTCTCATAATCATATGGTGGTTTTAAGATGTTAAACCTCACAAATCAATCAATCATCATGTTGCCTGAGTAGAAGTATCAAGGTTGACAGAAATATTAAAAAGTACAGACCAATCTGTGCACCTTATTATCAATATTTTTTTAACTTTGTATCCAGAGAGGTGGGAGACTAAGTTGCCTCCATTTCATTTGCGTTGGTGTTCGCATTACCGTCGCTCGTGATGGTGTCAGAATTCACAACGCTTGGCGTGTTTTTGGTGCATCGCCCCTTACAGCAGTTCCAGCTGTGCGACGTTGTGTATCCTGATAAGGATACCTGATCCGTGCCAGCCTCTCCAAACGTGCTCGCATATAGGGATTCATCCCACAGAAACAAGCACTACAATACAGAGAACGTCCAATATGCACAACACCGCTTGCGTGCGCTACCTGGCATAGGTATGTCATGAGAATGTAACCTTGCGTGCGCATGACGTGTTGATGTGTCTGCGTCGTGTGATCTACCGGCTCAGAGTTGCTCGGATACGGAATAAAGTATGCAGGAAAGGAATTTGGCTAGCGAAATCTACTCCGGGGAGTAGCAATGGTTTTAAGCTCTCCTCCTGGAGTGATGCTTTCATGGCTTGTAATGAACTGAATGAAAAATTCTAGTAATGCAAAGCTTTTTATTGGGGACGCAACAACTTCCAGTGTCCAAGTAAAATTTTTCTTGTGACATAGTAAAGTGCCTTTTAAGAAGTAAAGAAAACAGAAACCATGTGGACATCATTTTTTCAAAATCTACGTTCTACTTTTCTTTAATGACACTCTACGATTTCGCATTCATTCTCCATCGTCTTTCGCCTGCACAGAAACACCTCCTGTTCACTACGCATGTAAGCAGATACCTGGGAGATGTTGAGCAGACTACGCGACGCGAATGAATACATGTGTAGAGGCTAATTGACCTTCCTATTGGCTAAGAGACCTTGTAGCATTGACAGTGCTGTAAGGAACTTACGAGATGGGGTATAGGTTTCACCGCATTGAGTTTAGAACGCTCAGTTCTTCCTGGTAACATGAATACCGGTCTCCAACTGTACTCGAAAGCAAAATTTGAGGTTAAATAGCATTGATATAGGCACCGTTTTTGAGTGTAGGCTTATATAGATACTTACAGGAATTTAGCCATCAAGGTTAAAAAATGGGCATTTATAAGCATTATAAAAACGCTATAAAAGCTCTTGTTAACTTGATAATTCATGCTCATATATCAAAGTGGCACGATAGGAACGCAAGAAACAAAATAGGCATTTGCCTATAATCTGGTCTCTAGTCATAAGTAATTGAAGTTTCTTATTGCATATTGATTTCGACTGAACAAAAGCCAGGTCACTGATACAGGTCACCGTATCAGCCAGCTTCTGCACCTTTGTTGCAATACAGTAATAGGTATCTTATTTTGAGAATTTGTCATGGCATTCCTTTGAACACTAAATGCTTCCAGTTTGTTGCCTCGGCAGACTGGTGCTTAAAAACATCTGTAATGTCAGTATTATTGACAGTAATGGTTTAGCAGCTGATATACAAAATGCACAGGATGCACATTCTGTACATAGCCTTCATAGATTATGAGAAGACATTTGATTAGGTTGAGATATCAGCAATCGTGCAGGCACTGTGGAAGCAGGGCATCAAAGAAGTCTATATAAACATGCTGGAAGAGATACCGTATTTACTCGCATAATTTGCGCCCTCGCATAATTTGCATGCCCTTAATACTTTGCCAGCTTTACGGAAAAAAAGTTACCCGCCTATTTTATGCTCCCCATTCCCAGTGGCGAAATTCAAGCTCGCTGCTGTGAAGTTGGTTGAAGAAAACTGGAACCATGCCATCGCCAAGCACTTCAGCTCGCATAATTTGCACACCATTAATATATTGCCAGCTTTACGATAAAAAAAATTACCCCCCTATTTATGCTCCTCATTCCCAGTTGCGAAATTCAAGCTCGCTGCTGTGAAGTTGGTTGAAAAAAAACTGGAACCACGCCATCGCCAAGCACTTCAGCGTGAACTTCAGTATGTCACGATCGGCTCGATCTGTATGGGAGAAAGCAGAGTGTGCGCTTCCTGATACAAGTTTTCTAACATTAAAAAAGGCCTTTTCAACTATATGCAAACACTTAGGTCTTTACGTATCGCCGTGTCGTGGGACCTAGTTTCTCACAGCATGTTCAAAAATAGCTTAAAGGAAATGGGATGTTTGAACGCGCTCGACGAAACCAGGTCGATGTGCTTTGGGAGGTCGGTGACAGCGGCCACGACGATGATTCTCAATCGAAAACCTTCGATCAGCGATTTGTACTAGGCTGCACGTGACCAGATCTTACAGGTTAAAGAACATGGTAATTCTGTTTAATTAACTAATACACTTTGTTTGTGCATCGGTTTATAATTTTTAGTGTATACATGGCACACGTTGGGACTATTGTACACTATGCGTTTGTGAAATCCCCGCGTAATTTGCGTACCCCCTTCTCGGAGCCCCAAAATCTCGAAAAAAAGTGAGCAAATTGTGCGAGTAAATACGGCAACTTGCCGAGGATTGCAGGGAAAGATAACCTGCCTATGGCAAGTTATATTTTTTTCTTCACATTTACACGAAAATTTCCTATAATAACATCCCCTATACTTTCATTGGCATGATTGTCGGTTAGTTCACATCAATACTGTGTCTAACAAATTAAACGAGCCTTTAAACGTACACTTATTTTCTTCATTCCTAGCGAGGGTCTCGTTCTGGCAGACTTGGGGCCTTCAGGTAGTATACGAGAGAGTATTAGTCAGCTGCCGGCTCTTAATAAGTTCATGTGCTACGTGATGCCAAACAGGCAAATAATGAGTGTTCTATGCTCGCCATCATGGCTACAGGTTGTGCTGATTGATGCACCCACGTTGAAGGAACATGTACACCGCATAAAGCGGACAAGGGTATAGTCGTCATGGTAGCTCGGTTTGTAGAGCATCAGACACGTTATTCGAAGGGCGCAAGCTTGAACTCTGCCGACGGCAAGTTACCTCTTCATCCATTTTCTTTCTTTACATTTACACTACAGTTTCTTATAATAGCATCCCGTATACTTTCCTTGGCATGATTCTCTGTTGGCTCTTAGCAATGCAATGGCATAATATAAAGTGACACTTATCAACTCAATATAAGCGCTTTGTGTTTTTTTAATGATGCACATGGTTCCCTTGCAACTGCAATTCATTTCAGGGTGGCACCGAAAGCCAGGGCAAGCTGGTAGGCCTGCACAAGTGGGAGTTTGCAAATCAGGTAGGCTGTCTCTGTTTCAAGAGGGTAGGGGGTTCATGTTCCTCGGCGCTTCTTGCACTGCTTCTGCTTTCTTTTGTGTATGATTTTTAGATGTTTAACGTAATGTCTTGTGGCAGAAAAGTGTTTTCCTTAATCGCACAACGATTCCCTTCTTGTCCACCGAGGAGGCAGTTATGTGTGAATATTGATGTTTTGCATGTGCAGGAATCTGCTGATGTCTTCTCCTCACTGTGCCATTAGGTGCTGGTTAGAAGCGACGCGACACTTTTGCCAAGGAGGCCAAGATTGTGTTATTGGTGACCGTAACATGCGTTTGTAAGATGGATATACATATAAATGTTGCAACAGCACTGGCTTGGGGGCATCTCTGTTCCTCCATGCTTGACTTACATACCAGTTTACTACTGATGAGGATGTGTTAAGCACAAACAAAATGTGCTTTTCATAGGGTTTGTATGCGAGGCTCTTCCATAACTGCCTACTTTCCGGGGTTCCGTTTCACCGTTCCGGCAAAGCAGTGAAGAAGCGATGTGTGACTTTCCGCTGTTCAGCAAAAAATGATTCCGTTTCATTGAAATGTAGTATCTGCTACTTCGTGGAACCATTCGTTCCTAGCTAGTTCTGTCCAGTGCTCAGCACATGCTAAGCTCAAGCCAGTCTTACCAGGATGGTTGCCATAAGAATGTCGTTTGTATCTGCTATTCATTTGAACAAGCGCTATGGTGTGTTCAACATATGTGAGTGAATTTCAAGCTGGCATTTCACTGCCAAATGTTCAACATACCATAACTTTCTTTCTAATCCGTTTAGAACATCCATCTTTGTTGCACTGCAATCAGCGCTGATTCTAGATTATTGTGATCTGCTGATTGAATGTGCAACACTCTTAGTTTAGAAAACACTCGCTCTTTCAAGCATGTGCTCAGATTTGGGTGCACGTTAAAGAACACCACGTGGTCGAAATTTCCGGAGCCCTCCACTGCGGTGTCTCTCATAATCATATGGTGGTTTTGGGATGTTAAACCCCACAAATTAATCAATCATCAATCAAATCATCATTGCTCGTTCAAACGCTCATGAAATATTTGGTATATAAAAACTACACTTTATACAAGAAAACTAATTGCAGGGGTGGAACAGCTGTGCCATTTGTGCCACTGTGTGCCAAACTTGCTTACCTGCGTCATCATGCGCCGAACCATGCCTGCTGCGCCAAACTCGCCTATCAGCACCGCACTGCACCTCAACACCAGAATTTAGCCACGAAGTGTGAAAGCCGTCAAGCGCCAAGCCCGGAAACGTGGCTGAAACATCTTTTTGGTTTCATCGAAACGGTTATCGTTTCAGTTTCGTAAAGGCTATGATCGCTCCAGGAGCAGCTATGAACTTTCATTGTCAGGGCGTGATCGCAAACGCTACGAGCATGTGATCCCTGCTTGCATCAGTGGGAATAGCTCGTGAATCCTTTTACGTGCTGCGCTCTCAGTGCGAAGAGGCTGCTAGAAGAGCATCTCTCTTTGTCACGACCACGGTGTAGGAAGGGGAGGTAACTGATCGCCTCGGAGGCGCAGCAGAGCAGCTCCATGGAGAACTTGTTCGGGTTCGCTTTCTCCCTACTAGAGGGCGCTAGGAGTACCGGGGCCATGCGAGTCGCGAACTGATAGCGGCCACTTCAGTTCGCTCCGACACGAGGCCGTCTTTCATATAGAACGTCTCACTTTTTTGTGGACTATCCGCAATCTTTAAAAGTTTTGGTTAACCCTGTGAGCTTATACGACGTGCGTGTGGCCATGTAAAAGCGATGGGGAGAAGTGTTTCGCCCCACGCTGCAACACAGGGTACAAGTCCTGTACCGAGAAACTTTCGCTGTTTTCTGCGCCGAGAGATGAAGAACGTCTTCGGGTGTGGAGGAATGCCATTCCACGCTACATCGAATCATACAGTCAACAGACCACCTCTGCGAACGGCACTTCGAGCCTCATTTGGTGAGCAAAACCTAAGCGGTCTACAACGGCAATGTTTTGTGTCGAGCACCCCGGAAAGCACCTCTCAATAGATGCAGTGCCCAGTTTTTTTCCGGACTGCCCAAGCTATCTCTCGAAAGAGAAAAAACAACGCAAGAGGCCAGCCGAGAGACTTGACGTCAACGAGACTTTCAAGAAGCACCGAAAGCAAAGACAGGAACTTGGTGGCTTGCTTTCTCAATGCTTTCTTGCGGATCCCCCCGAAAGTGGTGCTACTGCTTCGGACATGCTCTTGCATGATTGTACCTCGGCACCCCTCGCAGCGCTGTCAACTTTTGATGAACTGCTACTATGTACAAACCCTGTAACATAGTTTACTATGTTACAGGGTTTGTGTGCCGGAAGTTGCTGAACAGCACAATGTGCGAAACGTGCAAACTTGGCCTTGCGAGACCTGTGTCTCACTCGCATATGCCTGAAGCAGCTCTCGTAAACTGTAAGACCCTTTGAAAGCTCATTCATCCCACAACTAACGTATTTGTGTTACTTCGCGCAGCAGGAGTAGAGTTTCAAAGAAATTGTACGCAAAGGAATGCTTACGAGCTGACCATTGATCATATGTTAGATAACAACTGGCTCTCATTTCCTTGCATCACCCACAAAGATGAAGTATTTGCTAAAATCTTGCATTATTATGTGGGCCTTCAGATGAGCCAGTATTGTAAGCAGAAAAAAGAAAAGAAGAACAAGACACACAAGCTCAGAAAACTGTCAAAACTTGTGACTGCACAAGCGTCCTAAACAGAGTATTTGGCTTGGTGTTTGAGTGTGTGTGATTTCCTCAACGTTTCTTGTTGGGTACATTTTTTTTGTAAAACAGTGCAATAAACATGTATATGTGCGTACAAGCTTATTATGCATGAGTAACTGTAACAACATGTTTAAAAAAGTAACAACGCAAAACTGAAGTAGATATCAGATTCATGTGTGCGCCAGAGTTCAGCGAAATTCAAATTTCCTTCGTATGCCGAAGTCACCGTGACCGTGGTGGATAGCACTGGTGCACCGCAACATTTTATTGCCCCTATTTCTGTTTAAATTACTCGCAGAGGTGGTTGCGTCTTCGCGAAGAATTGTTGAAGCTACAGTCGCTGTCGCGTCCCAAATAGCGAGCATGCGCTTCGGCCTTAAAATTCACATACCAGCTCGAGACGTCCCAAAGAACCTCGGTTCTTTTGAAACGGTATTTTCGTTTGAAGCGACCCTGGATTCATGCCACTGAAATCCAAGCACGCGCTGTCTACGGAACAGTGCAAGGCGCGTTTCATGCCCGTGGCAACTGAAGACCCGCAGTACATGGCCCCTGTTCGTGCAGCGCCATCTACGTGCGCACACGTCCGCGCCGAACCAAGTTTCGTCGCGCTCGCCCGCCGCGTTGAGTCGCTTCTCCTTCCTACACCGTGGTCACGACTGTATTCTCTTACAACAGGGTTTTGTAGATTTACGTGACATCTGATCTAAAAGAGTTGGCTGCCAGTCTTACGATTTGTTGCTATTGCATTCATTGCTTCGCCGTTCCGGTGAAACTTTTTTTTAACTTGATGGCAGCATTAGAAACAGGAAAAAAAAAAGGATCGCTGTATGGGTGCTCAAAGAAGGGGGGATGTCCGGTTCCTCGAACAGCGGGAGACTGTTGCATGTGATTGCTCATCGAGCGGATGCGCGTATTCTGGTTAATTTGGCCGCTGTGCTTTGTGCTTATCGACTCTGTGATTGATGCTGGCACGTTCAGGTAAAAAAAAAAAATACATAGGCGACTGTGCATAAAAGTCACACTTGTACCACAAGGGTGAAGCAATGAATGGGATTGCAGCAAATGTAATGCTGTATGAAGTGAGGCTGGCAGCTAACTCGTTGGATCCGATCTCACATAACTGAACAAAACGCTGGTGTATGAGAATACGGCCACTTCCAAGATAGGAATACTTTTCGCACAGTCTCTTCGTGATGAGAGTGCAGGACGTAGAAGTTTATGCGATCGCCCGCTGATGGCTGCCGAGATAGCGTGTGCGCCAGCGATCGCGACCACGCCCTTAGAAGCAAAGTTCATAGTTGTTGCTCGAGCCACACCCACCCCTCTAGAGCTGTTTTTTCTCCCCTTCTGTCTTTTGTTTTCATGCTCTTCCAAGACGGGCAGGACCTCTTTTTAAGCTACAGGCTTCTTGGGCGGGGTATCAGATCTAATCACATGCACCCTTCGAGGGCCGGATCGTTTGATCTCTGTGTCAACCATGTTCGTCGCCCTTGCTCACGTGCTTTCACCGACAGATAAAACATGCCCAAGGGTATGTTATCAATTTTTAATTTATACAGAACATGACAGCAACTGCCAAAACCCACTGGGAGTGTCCATATCATTTATATTGCAATAGTGTGGCAAGTGCACAATTAGGCTAAGTGTTCCAAAAGTGAATAAAAGTTGCTTCACAAGTGCTTTGAATAGGGCTACATCTTCTCTGAATGTTGTTACTACTCTAAACTTGCTCGAGAGGGCCGTTCTGGCTGCTTCAAGCCTGCTCCAAAACATTTTTCTGGCTGCTCCAAGCCTGCAAAGCACTTTTACTTGCTCCCTCGACTGCTCCCAAACCCATCTACCCTGTTTCACCCCCTGTAATTACATGTATCAAAAGACCACACAAATATACATGAACTCACTAAGTTTCACCAAAATTGGTGAAGAAATAAAGCAAAGTATTTTAAGTGCCATGCCCCTTCTTAAGGGTTTAGCAAATGGGGCTGTGTGGAAATCGTTTGGTAGGTTTTTGTTGCAACTGCGTCTTAGTTACTTCCTTCCCACAGTTAAATTTAACTTGACCTAATTTTTGAGGCTTTTAGATCTGACGAAGACATTTTCATTCCTAGACAAGTTGGCAGGTTAGGACATCCCTTTTTAGTTGCGAACGTCCCAACTTGGCAAAATTATTCCAGCATGGTCACCACTTCGGTAAATGGAGCTGGAGCTGTGTATTTAGAATCGGTGTATTAACAAGGTGTTACTCAACGGGCACTAAGTGAATCAGGGGTTCATTGTTGTCGACCTAAATAGACAAAACTGCCCCGCCGTGGTCTAGTGGCTAAGGTACTCGGCTGCTGACCCGCAATGCGCGGGTACGAATCTTGGCTGCGGCGGCTGCATTTCCGATGGAGGTGGAATGTTGTAGGCCCGTGTGCTCAAATTTGGGTGCACGTTAAAGAACCCCAGGTGGTCCAAATTTCCTGAGCCCTCCACTACGGCGTCTCTCATAATCATATGCTGGTTTTGGGACGTTAAACCCCACATATCAATCAAATCAAATAGACAAAACTACCATATTGACATTATTCTAAGTCGTCTCAAATTTTTGTCTCCCGTAATTTGTCTCCCGTAATTGCTTACAACTTGAAAAATGATAATTGATGATTGATTGATTGATTTCTGGGGTTTAACGTCCCAAAACCACCATATGATAATGAGAGACGCCGTAGTGGAGGGCTCCGGAAATTTCGACCACCTGGGGTTCTTTAACGTGCACCCAAATCTGAGCACACGAGCCTACAACATTTCCGCCTCCATCGGAAATGCAGCCGCCGCAGCCAGGATTCGAACCTGCGACCTGCGGGTCAGCAGCCGAGTACCTTAGCCACTAGACCACCGCGGCGGTGGCGAAAAATGATAATTGTGCGAGCACATTTAACTATGGAAATTTATTTACATAGTCAAAAGACTGGCTGTACATGCTTGCTCGTCATTGGAAAGCCAACGCCATGATCTTGAATGCCCAGGCCTTGCTGGCCTTGATGCGCGTCCTGAAGAAATCGTCACTGAGTCGCTGTTTATTGACAGGAGTGTTGTTGTTGATTGCAACTGTTACTCTTCCATGAACAACCAACATACCTATAAGAGTAGTGCATGCCATTTTTTAAATGTATTAATTACGTAATTTTTAAAATTTATTCAGTTTTGTATAGCTGGCTGTTTAACTTTGATACAGACAGCTTTTTCTTCATGTATGTGCTCTAACGCTATTACGTTTAAACATGTACATGCCCCTGTCGCGACTCTAGTTTTGTTCTGATGAGGCTACAAGCTGTGCTGACTGAAGGGACTACGGAGTCAACACTTGATAGTTCTTGCATACCAGGTAGTGCTGGGAACATTGACGGTTTATTGTCTTTATGAATGCTGCCACAGGAATTGTTCGTTAATTCGTGGTTTATGCAATAGATATCACTGATTGTCTCCCTGTAATTTTCTTGCTTGGTGTGCCCTTGTAACCACTGCGCTTGTACTCCTCTTCCTTGCGTATCGAAGGCCTATATAGCTTCATGTGGCCATCTACATAGCCTTCATCTGCCAAATATGGCAGGTTCCATGGCCACGTTGCCCTTGCAGACTCTTTGGCGTGTGCAGGCTTGTGTTAGTGGCAGATACAATGCCATGGTAGTTTTTCTGGTGTATGTGATAAAATTTTAGATTTCAAAGCAGTGAAGCACACTTTTCTCAATTTTACGAACCTTCCAATTTAGCGAAATGATTTCAGCATGTTCATTACTTAGTTAAATGGAGTTTCAGCTGTATGTTTAGAATGTGTGTGTATTAACAAGGTTTTACCTCAGTGCTGCTGAGTGAGATTGCCACTAGAGAAAAGTCCCATGCATGCAGGTAGGCAACATCTCGCTCAACAATACACCTGAAGGGGGCCTGGCCATTCTGGTTGCGCAGCCTGGTGGCACCTACATCAAGCTCGACTTTGGCTCATCTAAGGCTTGTCAACCCCATGAGAGCAGTCCTGGTGAAACTGCTGCAAGGCAAGCTCTTGCCCTAATCTTATTGGCCATATATAATGCAGTAGAATCTCGCTGATTTGATTACAGTAGATGTGAATTTTGCGATGCTGTGAATTTTAAAGTTGTTTTAAATTGACAATATATAAAATACGCCATGGTTAGGTGTTGTACAAACGGTTTCCCCAGCCACCGCTGATGATATGAATGTGCCATAGACCGCTGCATGCCAGCGGCGCAGCACAGCTTGTCTGTGCAAAGAAGGCCTGATCACTCTTTCCCTGGAAAGGAGTGAATGCAACAAAACTCGCCAGAATTTTTTTTTGCCTTAGTGGCCAGAAAAACACGCCACAAGGTCGACGTGAAAAAGTCTGTCTGAGACCAATTTTCCGGCCACGCGATAGCAGATCGTCTTTTTTCTTCACGGTTTGGCTTCAACCGGCTGCTCTAGCTCTCAAACCAGGTGATGTAAGCAATCATCTGCGAATTCAACATGGCGGCAAAGGTTGTCCGCGGTGGATGCGTCAGCGATATCGCGAACTACCCGTGCAGCACGTCAAAGCTCATGGCCTTGACAAGGACACAATCATCGATAGCCTGGTATGGATTACAATTGTTGAGAACACTGGAAGTAGAAAAAATTGCAGCAATGCCCTAATATGTCTCGCTTTTGCTCTGCTGGCTGAATCTGTAGCCGCCGCTGCTGTGCAATCCGCTCATGTTGTTTCTGCTGGCGTATCTTTGAAAACAACATTTGTAAAGTTAGGAACAGTGGTAGGCGCCACGTTTACAAATGATGACGCGAATACACTGTTAAGAGCTAGGCAACAATTTTCTCTTGGAATAAATGATTCACTCCCTAAAACTAGGTCGATTTGTTTTTTGTTATTTCTACCGATTATCTGCCAAATCTGTGAGGATTAGCTACTAATAAAGAAGGCAACGTTTGTTCAAAATATGAGTGCTTTGCAAGTGAGAGTGCGCGTGCGTACTCGTCGGCTACACTACAATAATCATCCCATCTTTTGATGTTGCCCAAGAGCTTTGCACTTCGAAAGATGCGCTTTTTTTATTAAGTAGCCGCTTTAAAGTAGGCGTGAACCAAGCAGACCGATTGTTATCGGTTATTTTACGGCGCGGTATGAAGCGGTCGGTGAGTTCTTTGATTTTAGCTCTGAAACGTAGCCAGTTTTCGTTTACCTAGTGTTCAGAAAAGCTAGAAAAAAAAATTCGTGTGAAAATGTCTTCAATTCAGCATTAATTAACGTGTAGTCAGCTCTCCCGTAATCGTAGCTTACTAATTTTTGACGGCGTGTTCGGTACGAGAAAGTGAATGGCAGAGTGATCGCTGAGACCTGGCACGACTGACAGAAACTGGATGAGGTCAGAGTTATTTGTGAACACCAAGTCTACTGTATTTACTCGATTCTACCGCGCCCTCGATTGTAACGCGCACCCAGTTTCCACAACAACAAAAAAAAAAAAGTAAGACATCGATTGCAACGCGCACCCATTTTTCTCGTTGGCCCGCATGATCACACCACTCGAAAAAACGACTCCTTTTGGGAGCGTCTTCCATTTAAATATGAGGTACGGGGGAAGCTTGTGCCCATCTGACGTGTAACAGAGCATTGCCGTCACTGTAGTTTTACCGTGGACTGATGTCAGCACGCGAACTTGCTTCGCCCCCTTCTTTTCGACGGTTGTGGTGCCAGGCATGTCGAAGTAAAGAGGCGTCTGATCGGCATTCCCGATTTGCCCAAGCAGGTAGTCGTTGTTGTGCTGCAAGTTTAGGACGAACCTCTGAAAACTGTGAAGCTTTTCATCGTACTCCTCCGGAAACTTTTCGCATATGCCCGTTCGCCTTCGGAGGGAAAAGCATTTCCTCTTCATAAAGTTAGTTAGCCAGCACTTGCTTGCTTTAAACTAGATCCGCATTAGCTCTTTTTCTAAGGCTAACTGCATAGCCCGCACTTGGAGCAGTTCTGTCGTCACTGGCCACTGTGCGCTCGCTGCTCAAGCACATATTCGCCGAGCAGCTCTTAAATTTGCGGAAACCGACCCCGCTGTGGTCCACTGAAGCCTTTTGGTGAAGCTTTGCTGTTGACAATTTTCTGCTTTTGTTTCCGCCAGTCCCGCACGCACGTTTCGGGAGCTCCGAAAGACCGCGATGCGGCCCGATTTCCGTCCGTTTCTGCACACGCGATGACTTTTCTTTTAAAAGCGGCATTGTGGTGTACTCGAGTTTGTACTCGAGGCCCTTCCATGCCGTTGATGCTAATGCACTACAAGATGACGAACGCCTCAGCACACGTACGAAGTGCCGCACATGGGAAACACATAGGCAGAAATGGCCGACGCGCCATGCCGACGCACACAGGGGCCGGCCATTTCGGAAATGCTGATGGCAATAGAATGACTGTAATCATTTTTTTTTCGTACTCGATTCTAACGCGCATGCGATTTATGAACTCGCTTAGTGGAAAAAAAGGTGCGCGTTACATTCGAGTAATTACGGTAATATGGTAGAACTAGTAGACGTGATACGGGTTGGGGGAGTTAACCAACTGGCTAAGGTTAAACTCTAATCATGTATTAATAAAAGAGGTGGATTCGGAATCACTAGAGCCAGGTAAGGTACAAGGCAAATTCCACTGGATGTCAGGGAAATTAAAATCGCCTGAAAGAATAATACGCGAGGCGGGAAACCGAACATGAAGCATGTTAAGGGCATCGTACAAATCTGAAGAAAAACCAGCAGGTACATTAGGAGGCCGATAGCATGCACAAACGAGAGCGTCTTTATTGTGCAAGCGAACACTAACGCACACTAATTCTAGAGAGCAGTTGAGAGCTACGTGCGATTAAACCAGATCGTCTGCAACAGCTATGAGGACATCGTGGATCGCCTCCGGAACGCGATCCACGATCGCATCGATAAAACTTGTATTTTTTTTTTCGCGATTTAGAATTTTGGAGCTGTCTACTTCGGCAAAAAGCCACGTCTGTGTCAATACGACAACGTCTGCAAGACAGGTGTCAATCAGAGATGATAGGGCGTCTCGCTTGCCCATTACACTTCTCACATTACTAAGCAGAAAGGAACATTTGTGTTTGACAGTACCACATCGTGAATTTGTTTTTTGCCAAGAAGACGCTTGGACCGACGAGCTAGGAGGACTTAGGTTAGTGTCGTTTTCGTTGTTATCGTCAACTGGAACTACAGACAAGACACGATCAGTGACTGGGCAGTACACGTAACTTTTCTTGTTAATAACAACCTTGTTGTATTTTACTGAATACGCTTGACCGCTGGCTTTACCGAAATCAGTTAGTTTTTTCCTGGCTGTCCGTGTGGCCTTACAGAAATCTTTGTTAATGTTAATGATCGTACCGCGCAACTTTGCTTTTTGGGAAAAGATGTTATCTCTAACTTTGAATGACGCAAACCGTTGACAACAGGGCGGCACTTGTTTAGTACAAATACTCCTAGTCGGTGGACTTGAGATATCGTGTCATCTGAAAGCTGCATTTCGAAAGAACTTGAAAGAATTGCCTTAACCTTTTCTTCTGTGTCTGACCATGTTTCTACTGCAGCATCAGTAATTCCGTGGAAGATTAAGTTGTCTCGTCGCGATCGGTCTTCGTAGTCGTCAAGTCGTGCGCGAAGAGCAGCATTCTCGCTACGAACCGCTGACGCAATCCATACTCAACAATCCAAACGCGATCCCTCGGATACGTTTTCAAAAGCGTTCACCTTTTCTTCAAGATTTGCTTATTGTGTTGTAAGGTCGGACACTTTGTTATCAAGAACTTTTTGGTTATTTTTGACTACTTCAATGGTTGCTAGGAGATTGTCGTGCCGCTCATCGAGGTGCTCCGTTAGGCGACCTATAGCTAATAGGACTGCATTATCCTGTATTTTGGGGTCTGACTTTGGGGGACCAGGATTCAGTTCAACGTCACCTCCTAACAAAAGCAATTTCACAACATGAACACATTCATCAGCAGTAACCATTAAAACGTGTGCGCATGGGAATAGCAGCAATGGGTGATGCTTCAAGGACGAGCTTATGTAGTCCACCGCTGTCGATGTCGTTGCGGCCTTCCTCAACGCTCCGGTGTCGCATCACACAGTGGGTGAGGGGGTCCCAGGAAATCAGCGCTGATATCGCTGCAAGCCTCCGGAAGAGGGCATGTGCCAGACTTGGGTACATGCGCGGCACTATCCACGCAGACAGGGATGCACGTTCCGATGACGAGGGCCAACTGGGTGAAAAGACAGAAGTGGTTTTTAGCGACCATTGTCGCTGCTGCCATCCCATGCCCACCCACATTGAGAGATGGTCAAGGCGGGAAAGTTCTAAAGAACATCATGGACTTTTTTCAGCAAGTAATAGTTGCCAATGCAGTTCTCCTTCATCTTCATGATCAGTTTTAACTCTTTAACCGCTTTGGACCCATACTGTCGCCAAACTGCGTTCAATGAGTAGAACTCGTCTTAGTGTAATATGCACATACTCCCCTCTAGTGTTCAAGCGGAGAAGCGCGCATTTATGGTCATCTACTAGATGGCAGCATTTGCTCGCGAATTTAGTTTTCTCTTACGGCAGGAGTGCAGTCTTTGTATGGAAAGACAGCGTGTGGGGGCGGTGACCTATGCATGGCTGGGTCAATCATGGAAAAGAAGCTTTTTGTTTTCGTCATTTTCTTTGAGTGATGATAATTTAGTTCAGATACTTATCTTGGGTCCGGAAGTGAAGACAGCGATCACGGTGAATGAGATAAACTAGTGTGCGCGAATAAAGACAAGGAGACAAAAAAGATAGGACAGGAACAAGCTCAAACTTGCAACTGACATTACTTGTAAGCTTTCGCTTGTCCCTGTCGCATCTCTCCTGAGTCCTTGTCTTCATTTGCACATACCACTTTACCTTGAAATATGAACCAACTCGCCCAGCTGCAAGTTTTACTGAATGAATTGCTCCTCTGGTGATGATGATGACAGCTCGGACGTGAACATTGAGAGTGCTAGCCAGTGAAAGGCACTTTGAGTTGTTCAGCACTTTGAAAATTTTCACACAGCTCCGAAGCTTCCAGAGTGAAATATCCACAGGGTGCCTAGCCTACCCAAGTTAAGAGTATAACTGCTCTGTTTGTAAAGTTTTTGATTTTATTAGCAGCAGGTATTTAGTTTTCAATGAATTGTTCAGAAATAAACTTCGTTCCGAATGTGTCGAATATGTGGTGAACATATTTATGTGGTGAACATAAATATATGTGGTATAAATATATAATAAATATGTGGTATATAATAAATATGTGGTATATAATAAATATGTGGTGAACATATTTTTTCAGCATTGACTAGATACTTCTTAGTACAATCAGAACTGAAATCAGTAATATAAAAAATAGGCGCCTTTCTTCACCAGGAATAAAAAAAAAAGCAGTTAAGGGGTTAAATTGTTTTTGTTTCATACAAAATCTGAATGATAAGAGTATTTTGCATGCTCCCTTGAAATTTGTATCATTGAAATATGAATTTCAGTAACAAAATCTTGAGCATAATCAAACATCAATATTTGTTAGTTTATTGTTTGTCAGCTTGCCCTATTGGCTTAGTGGCTGAAGGGCGCACAGCTAAGCTCGAAGATGTGTGCACGATTGCTGGGCATAGCGGCTGTGCATGAAGGGAGAAAAAAATGCAGAAACAGCTGTGTACTTAAACTTGGGTGGATGCTAAACTGCTACAGACAGTCAATATTGATCCAGAGTTACTTGGAAAGCCAGTGCTAACACGACGGAGACACAAAACGAGAAGGATACAGGACGAGTGCTGTCTGACTGAAGTTCATTGAAACTTTATTGAAATAACTGTTTTAATAACAAAATCATGTGGAAGCACAAGCTAAGGAGCGCATGAACTTGTGAATGCGTTCTACCTCAAAACGTTGAGTAATTATTGCGTGTCTGAACTTTTCTTTGGTTTGCTAGATTGCGAGGTATGTATGCTTAGCAATTTGTTTTGTGCGACCTGACATTCTTGCACACATAAGGTGTTGTTTTTTGTGTTTTCAGTCTTGTTTCAGTAAACATGAATTGTTAGAAAACGCTTGTCCGGTGTCATCCTCCTCTTGTGTCTTTGTCGTTCCGCGCTGTCTTTTTGAGCATGCATGGTTTCCTACTCTCCCAACTGTCTACCTTACTGTAATGCATAGTTGTACATGTTCTACAGCGTGTTTCATAATCCTATTGGAATTTTCACATGCAAAACAAGAGCATTTACTTAAGTTTAGGCCTCAAAGTTAGCTTCAACCCACTAATTCAGTGTTACCAAATCTTGCCACCAGGATGAAGGGAACTGAGGCACCTAATAGGAACTCTAAGATGAAGTGGTAAAACTGCCGTCAGACAGAAAGAAGTTTGTACTGAATAAGTCATAGGCATTTTCATGAATTATAGTACCTAGTCTTTTGGGTGACAGTCTGTGTTCCGGTTGAATGGGTCTAACAATAGTTCACTGTGCATAAACTTTGCTCGATAGGGCAATTTTATTGAAGTCTGCATGCAATACTTGAACATGATAGCAGCTGTTGTTCAGTTAAATCAACTTCAGTTCAGCAACTTGTCTGTTCGGTAAATCTTAAGCACAGCCCACTCATGCAATCCTGTTTAGTATCACATGGAATGGTTTCATTAAGTTTCCGAGACTGGTCCCTTGTCGTAGCATTGGGAAGATTTGAGCTCATTCCTCATGCTCAAACATTGATGAATACAGGAATATTGCATCTCACTAGTCGTTTTATGTGTATTTTTTTTTGGACAGTGACAGCTTTAACAGCTTTTTTTAGTGACTGTTCAAAGTCTGTTCTCAACCATTTTGCATCTATGTCTCGCGATTCACTTTTTATTGTTGCACAACACTGGCCAGGCACTCTGTGACGTTAAATATCGAGCTGCATAATATCATTGTTTTTTGTGAGGCTCTGTTGCGAGGGCGGCACAGTAAAATCTCACTAGGAAGATCCAGCTTGCTAAAGCTTGCATACATTTGCAGAGGTTCTTGGTATTTTCGCTCTTCCTGCAGTAATGGAGTGGCAGCCGAAGACAGTGCCCTGCTGATGTCAGTGAGTCCGCAGCACCACAAGCTGGGCTTGTCCCACATGCGCAATCCCAATGTGTCGTCGGTCATTGCGGGCAGCATCCTGGGCACCACCCGTGCCGGGGAGCCGGTCAGCTCCCTCATGGCTCTGGCCACGTTGGACGGTCAGTAAAGGTCGATTACGGTTCTTCTGTTTGGTGTTCGAATGGCACAAAAACCTAATTTAACTAAGTACTGTGAATAGTAAACAGGCCTACTGCAGTTTTGTTGGCATGGCATGAGTCGAGCATTGTTCAATGGGATATATATATAGTGCAAACCTGATCATAATACAGCCTTTTCGACACTGTCAAAAAACGTCGTATAATTTGGATGCTAGGAAATCTTGACAGAAATTGAACCCGTAAGGACACGCTTTTGTGCTACAAATCGGCAAGAAACTTCAGTGTAAACTACAAACTGGTACTCAGCAGGGCTCTAAAGCCAGTTTCGCCAAAGTATGCAGTGGTTGGAAACCTGTGCCAATTGTGCCAACTTGCATTAGCTGGAAATTGCTGCGCCATACTGCTCCAAAAGGTTTTTTTTCTAATTTGCGCCATCGCTGCACCACAAGGTGGTTGGGGAACCAAAAGTAATGTTGACAGTACGCATCATGAGTGGATATTACGTGATGGTCGTCATCTTGTACCCTGGCACTGCTGCATGTGTACGTATGGTTTGCATTTTCGTACACTTGCGCTGCTGCAAAAGCACAAAATCTGCCGATAAGTTATTCTGAATTCTGCATTATTGCTGTGGTGCCTTGTCTGGTAACCAATGGCGACGAACAATGGCGACAAACAGTATGGCTTATTGTCAACAAAAAGCCTACGTGTGTGGTGTAACGCCACTTAAAGCCTACTGCACACTTTTAATAACTGGCGACTACCTGAGAGCGCTCAGGCGCCAATCGCTATCGCCGCAATCGTTGTGCGAGAACGTTTTGAGCGTGCACAGCTCGCTATTGCGGAATTCAGCGTTGTGGATCGCAAGTATCGAGGCAGCAAGCATAGCACATCCTTTCATGCACCTCTGTCCGCTGGCAGGATCACTAAAGCATCGCTTGCAGAAAGTTCGCATCGTCACGTTAATGCAAAGGCTTCTCGCCGCATCTGTGCAGGGTCTGCAGCGAAGTGGGTGCAAGCGGCTCGACAGGGTGTGTACGCCAAGTGAACAAAGTGCTGCACGCAACTAGCCAGTGCATGATCGGCTCCCTGCGACTGTACCAAGTTAAAAAAAAACTGTCAGTTCTCAAAAACTAGCATATCTCGGTACACATTTATCACGGACCGCCCATTATGTACATTTTGTCGCTATGCCAGGCGCTGCGTTGGCAGCGTATCCTAGAATCCACAGTAGTTTTGAAATGCTTTTCGGTATCGCCACCGCATGTGGACGGTTGTGTGAGAGTGCCAATCTTTCCCAAACATTGGCAAAAAGAAAAAAAAAATGGTCAGACCTGCGCGGTAGGCGCAGCAAAGTCACAGCAAAAGCTAGAAGAGCGGCCTTATTGGGTAGCTACTGCAAGCACACTTGCTTGGTACCCACTATAGGGCATTAATAATAAAATTTTGGGTAGTAGGCCGACATTAGCTATGCTATTTCTCGTCATTCTTCTGAGAAGTGTGGTATCTGCTAAACATTTGCAAGGAATTTTGTGCCAATTGTCCATGCAGTGGCTGACAACGATGACGAATTATGCCTGAAGAGGGTATGCGCCACAGTTAATAGGGGAACAAGAACAAGCTTTTGCAATGGTTTGGAGCATTGGACGGCCCACTTGTTATGCTATTCGCATAGTGCGACGAGTGGTTGTTCTTTCGCTGTTGTAAAACACTTTATAAGTCGTATTATTGTGATTGCTCTCCTGGCATCAAGCCTGCCTAAGGCAAGTTTGACAACAAGTCACAAGCATCGGTGGTTGCTCAGTGGTAGAATACTGGGCTGGCACCCAGCAGACATGGGTTCGAGCCTTACTGTGCCATTGGTGCTAGGTCATGCCTGCCTAAGGCAAGTTTGACAAGTTACAAGCGCCGGCGTAACACAGTGGTAGAATATTGGGCTAGCACTCAACGGACCCGGGTTCAAGCGCCACTGTGTCATTGGTGCAAGGTTTTTTTTTTTAATTTTCGCGCGATGTGGTTACGGACACCGGCGGCGGCAGTGGCGAACAACTGCGCGTGACCCAAAAAGTGATCTCATAACAGCTTTCGCTGTAAAAAAGTAACTTCGATTGGGCACCTCAGGCAATAACTGCTGTGGGCACTGTATTTATTCCTTCTTTAGCGGTGATTGCGCACATAAAGAATTGAAATTTGGTACTTGGTCATAGGCGTGTGCACAGGGGGGGGGGGGCAAGGATGAGAGAGAGAGAGGGGGGGCTGCAAAGCCAGCTTCATGCTCACATGATAGTGAGGGGGACACGAAGTCAGCCCCATACATTGACATGGTGGTGGGGGGGGTTCTGCAACAAACATTTGCCCCCCCCCTCTCCCCCCTGATTGGGATGCCTGCGCACGCTTATGCGCTTTGTAGTTATTGCATACACCGTTTAGTCGCGAGTGCCCGTGGATTCACAGTCCGGGCACACGTGTCTGATGTGTAGCAACTCACTACGGAGCAGGTGCAGTTTACAGCGCGGGATCGCCTTATTTCATTCCATGACATTTGCACCCACAACCGATTAGAGCGCTTAACCTTCCCACTACTCACGCGCAAATCTTCACGCAGGTGCAAAATTTTGTGGCGACAGCTGCAGACTCTCACCTTTCCTTCCTCTTACCTTCTACACCTCATTCATCCGTCCTGTTACCCTTCCCATTCTTGTAAATTCTGCGCCTTTTCCACAGCCAAATTGAACCACATCATGTGACACTGCCCTAAGCACCCTCTTCCCCTTTTCCTGAAATGCCTAATTTCTAGTAAGGAGCAGTAGGAGGCTGCCTTGCGCAGGTCGAGGCCCGACATTCAAGAGGCCATCCTGGGGTGGGCTTAGAGGGTAGAGGAGGACTAGTTCAAGTAGTTGCTCCCCACCACACTCTTTGCTATTGCCCCGTTTGCTTTAACAAAGGATAAAGTTATTCATTCATTTGGCATGTATGTATGTATTAACAAAGTTTTACTGTAACGAGCTTTGAACGTGCCTGTGTGCGCACGCACTGCTATGCACTACATGCTGTAGCCAGCTTGTTGGTGCAATACCCATCACCATATTGTGTTGCTGCTTCTGTAAATATTGATACTTCTGTTTATTTTTTTGTGCTTAATTTGTGGGCTTGCTGCTTCTGTATAAATGCTTATGTTAACTGAGGGAACAAAAAACTAAGTCAAGGCAAAATTTTTTCCGTCTATGCGTGTCGTGGAAAGCCCACGCGGGCTCCAAAAGCAGATTTTGCCTGCTCCAATGGACGCTCCCAAATGCTGGAAGGCATTCCTACCACTGAGTATGTAACTGCAAAAAAAAATACAGCCATGAAAGTGATGACCATGAGTTAATGAGTGATGACCATGAGTCAAACAAATCTTGTTTTAATATTGCAGTCGACTGTACAATTATCCCCAGCCAGTGCGAACCAGGGCACTCTGCATGCTCAGCCGCATGGGCATGTTCTTGGGGAAAATGGGAAAAGTCGGTTAGTTTTTTCAATTTTCTTGAATGTGAGAAGCAAACACTTTTACTTGAGTTGGGCACTGTTCATAAGGAGGAGCTGTGTGGTGAAGTGTGAATAGTGAACATATTATAACATTTGTCCCCTAAGAAGCATGGTGAGCATGAGTCATCGTAGACAGCTCTACTTTGCTATAGATGCAAGTGTTCTCACAGAATACCACATTGCATATTAGGTGGACCAAAAGGGATCATTCATTTTAAACCCAAACATTTTTTATTCAAACCACTCGATTCATAGTTCAAGGGAACATATTGTTGTGACAGTACTGTAATGTGCAGTAATGTCACCATAGTGTCTCACGTAATCCTTCTTTAATTTTGGTTGTCTCAACACTTGCTCGTCTTAAGGGGAGACACCCCACTTGAAATAATTTTTTTATTATTGCGATAGCAACTATATGGACACTCTCGGCTGGAATTTGCGCCGAGGTTGACATAGGCGTCGGTGTCACTCATCGTATATGTATACGTATCTATATATATGAAAACGCAGCAAAGAAAATAATCAAGAAAAAGGCTCCGGCTCGCAGAATCGAACGTGGGACCTTCGCGTGGTGAATGCGGGGCATTAAAAACTGAGCCTCCGAGAGGCACCTTCTTGAACGTTCAAACCGCAAACTATTTATATCTACCACTTACTGCTGTTGGCGAGAATCTCGGGAGAAGGGGGGAACTATTGTGTTTTTAGCATTATCAACAAGATGGCGCAATGAGCGCGTGGTGGCTCTCATCTCTCACACGTACTTTGGCCCGTGGAGAGGAGGCGAGTAGACGATCTCTCTCGCGCCCCTTATCTCCCGGTAGAGGGAACCTTGCTTGCACTGTAATGATTACGGGGCGCACAATGGTCACTGCAATCGTTGCACAGCCTCCGTTTGCGAAAAGGGCGTGCTTTTCAATCACACAGAAGTAACAAATTATATGCTTATTCGCATTCATCTGTACCTGTGTGTACGTTCATGCGTCATTTGTGCGTGAGAAACGTGGGGCACGTTTAAATCTGCTCGCCATTCTGTGCGTGGCCATCCAATTTGTTGCTATCGCATTCATTGCTTCACCAATGCGGCAAAGCTGTGGCTTTTTTTATGTGTGAATTTTGATAAAGCTTCCATCCATTATGTATTTTGACATGCTGATTTCTAATATGCAATTAATTTTTTGTGCAACAAGTACTTTTCAAGATATTGAGAAATTCATGTATTTTGCATTGACTAATATGGAGGTGCCAACGCATCTTTGATTTACTGTTACGCTGCTAATACTCGACATTTTCAAACAAAAACTTGCACAGAGGTGTGCACGATGGTAGAAAAAAAAAAAGTCGCAGCTTTTCTGCAAAGGCGCAGAAATGGGCGCGATAGAAACAAATTGGAAGGTCACATGCAGAGTGGCAAGCAGATCAAAACGATACTTTAATTGAAACACTGTTCATTTCTCATTAAATGGAACTCCTTGTTACTGGAACATATTTCCCTGGTCCTCTCAGGTTGTTATGGCTGTAAATGAAGTTTAGTGTACTACAGTCGTACTGTGCTTCAACGAGCGCCGCTTCAACGAAATTTTTGTTACAACGAAAAATTGGCGATTCCCCGTGAGCAGTCCATAGGAGTCAATGCATAAATATTGTCGCCACAGCGAACACTTTTTCTTCGATCGTCCTGCTTCAACGAAATTTTACGATGCAATTCCAGGCTCAGATATATATTTCTATGCAGTAAACCCAATAATTAACACTTCAATGCATTTTCAGAGCCTGAAAATGCGTCAACGAAGTCTAAAACACGCGTTGGCACCACCAGAACCTGCCGCTGTTCAGCACGGGTGCCGGCATTGCTGTATAGCAATGGCAATGAGACTGTCCTGCTTTTCCCACTGGCTTGCTTTTGACCCGCAGACAATCCGAACCTGTAGCTCAGTCGCTCAGTTCATGGTATCAGTCACGAAGCTGCTGAACGCAACCACGGAACGATGCCTTTTCCGATTCTGATGCTTATCATTATGTTCGCGCTTGGCCAGTGTGGTAACTAATCAGAGCGGCTGTTCATCCGCATTATCAACAAAATCAGCTAGCCGCGAGTGATGGATGATTAGAATGGCATAGAATAATGCAAAAGTCGTCACTCTACGATACCCTGCTTTCATATTGGCGTTGTTGGATAATTTTGACGGCGGACAGCTGCTGGTGTTAACGTGTTAATTTGGTTCGTTCACGAAAGCCGTTTAAGGCGTTGTTTCAGCGTGCTTTTCACCATGGCCTCGCTATGCATAGGTGAGAATCACGTCGTGATGCTGCAGGGAAAGAATAGGAAGCAGCGGACATTTTTTGAATTTTGAGAATAAACGTTCTTTTGTTCTGCTGGCTCAAATGAGCTATATTTTTTCGATTTCACTACAACAAAGTTTTTGCTTTAATGAAATTTTTCCGTGCCCCATCAGTTTCGTTGTAGCGGGGTTAGACTGTACTCATATCTTTGAAGCCGGCATTATAGCTGTGTACTTGAATTCAGGTTTATGTTGAAGCATCCCGGGTTGTTTCAATTTCCAGATGCCTCCACTGTGGCATTTTTCCTATTGATATCATGGTTTTGGGACGTAAACCAATTGTTATTGTTACCGGTGAGCCCTGTGGCTTCCAAATTACCCTCAAGTACCTACCGTTACAGGCACGCTAATGCTGGTTGACGACGGAGACAACATCCTGTGGTCCCTGCAGGTGGACCACCAGCTATTCGCCCTCACCAAGATGGATGTGGTGGTGAGTACTTCATTACTTTCATTCTCATTATGACTGTATTTCATTGTCCTCTTATTTGCTGCTACACTCCTAGGACTTTCACTTGATTTGTCAATAGCATGCTTCTAAATATTTCTATGCATTGCAAGTTTAGCATCTGTTCCTTTTTCATGCTTAGTACTATTTGTGTATGCACTTTGGGGAATGAGTCAATGTCAGGCTGGAATTTCACTCATGAATGTTTGACATACAATAATTTTTATTAAAATTATGCTAGAAAGGATTTTGCTTTAAGGGGGGTCGTGCCAATGGAAACCAGCTTTTTTTATTTCTGGTTGGATCTTGTGGAAAATTGGTTGGATTCTTGATGAAAATTGGTTGGATTCTTGATAAAAGCCAGTAAATTTTACGGCTCCGCTGAACTTGCAGACACCACAATGTGCTGTGAACGGTTTTTCGTCATGTTGACAAGTGTGGAGATCGGCCAATCAGTTATTTCAACTTTTGCGCGGTTGCTGCGATGACATTACGTAAAATCATCGAGAAAAAGTGAAGGCAGGGCAGCAATCACCAACAAATGTGCTGGTATGACTTATCGCTGACGAAAAGTTTTATCACAGTAAGCATCCTCAGTTATCTGCTTGGAGGAGGAAGAGAAAAACTATCCCAAGAGGGAAAGGTGCGGTGGTGGAGTGTCAGAGGAGCCTACCCAGCGTAGGTCTCCGCTACCCTCTTGGCCCAATCCAAGATCTGGTCCCGGACCTTGGGCGCCGAGCTGCACATAGCAGCCTCCCACTGCTCCTTACTATTAATGTGTAGAAAATTAGGTGGTCAGTTTCGAGTACCCCCCCACATGATATGGTCTAGGTTAGCTCTTTGTTGACAGAAAATGCACAAAGGGGAGGGGTATATCGCAGGGTCTATAAGATGGCGAAAAGATGGGGTAGGAAACGTACGGGTCTGTAACTGGCGCCATAGTATTTCATGGTAGCGCGAAGCTCCATGATGTAAGGTGGGGTATATAGTGCGCTGTAGGCAGTAGTGATTTGTTATATCGTGGAAGGTCAAAAGACGATCTCTCGCGCTGAAAAAGGCCGCGTGGTCTAAGGCGCCATCAGAGGCCTGCGCTCGGCCGGTCATTCCTCGAGCACAGGTATGAGCCGCCTCATTGCCACTCAACCCCGCATGCGCGGGCGTTCATATGAGAGCAACGTCTTGCGTGGGAGGATGTTTCTTAAGAATTGAAAGGGCAGTTGATGAGATGCGACCTGCGCTGAAGTTGCTTATGGCAGTTTTGGAGTCGCTTGAAATCATAGTGATATTGGTGATGAATAGACCTAAAGCGATGGCAGCCTCCTCTGCCTCCTCCGAAGAGTTGACAGTGACGGATGCTGTTGTGAGCGCCTTGCTGTTATAGTCGACAGCAGAGAGGGCATAGGATGAAGAGGATGGGTATTCTGCCGCATCGACATAGAGCACGTCATTGGCTCCATGCAATTTTTTCTGAAGAGCTTTTGCTCTTTGGATTCTACGCTTATAGTGTGATATGTTGGATGCATATTTTTAGGAAGGGGCGATATGAGTAATTGTTTGCGTATGTTTTGGGGAATGTTGTATTTAGCGTTGGTGAGTGAGGTGAAGTTAATTTGGGTAGACGATTAAATGTGGCGACCTGCGCTAGTGGTCGCGAGCCTTGCATATTGAGCTGTTAAATGGGCTTCAGGGATTTCACATAGGGTATTTATGACTCCTGTCTGGTGGAGTAGTGCGTTAGAGGTATTGATTTCAATGCCTAGCGCGTATTTGTAAACTCTGCGGAGGGGGGTGTTGACCGATTCCTCCTCTGCTAATTTAAGGTGAAGGTAAGGGAGGGTATATGTGATTTAACTAATCACAAAAGCTTGTATTATACGAAGTAGCTCTGACTCTCGGAGCACTTCATTTTCCCCTGAGATTCTTCCTATCATTCTTAGGGTGTTTTCAACGGTATTGCGTAAAGCTTCGAGTGTGTGCGTATTAAGTCGGTTGTTTTGGATAAATAAACCTAGCACACGAATGCGTGATACTCTAGAAATGAGGCACTCATTTATGTGAACTTCGATCATTGGAACGTGTTTGTTCCGACAATGAGCTGGTAGAAGGAGTAATTCTGATTTACTCGGGGTACAATAGGGATTCATCTGAGATGTTAGTGCTGTTATTATATCTACAGCTGTTTGTAGGGTGTCTTGAATGTGTCTATCTGATCCTGCTTTCACCCATAAGGTGATATCATTGGCATAGATGGAGAAGTTCAAGTCAGGGATACGTTGAAGAGCGTTGGGTATTGGTAGCATAGCCAGGTTAAAAAGGATTAGAGAGAGCACTGACCCTTGAGGTGTTCCGAAGCTGCCTAGTGTATAGGGCGAGGAATGTTGTGGTCCTAATGTAAATGTTGCTGTGCGGTCTGTGAGGAAGCTTTTGATGTAAGAGTACATTTTAGCACCACAAGAAATGCAGTTGAGGCCAGCATATATAGCTGAGTGGGCTACATTATTGAATGCTCCATGTATGTCCAGAACAAGGATTGCCTGAGTATCCTCGCTCTGGTTAGGAGTTATGATGTCGTGTTGAAGGCGAAGCATCGCATCTTGCGCTGAAAGTGAGGCCCTAAAACGAATCATTTATGGAGGCAGTAGTCCATTATCCTCCACGTGTCTCTGGAGGCGTGCAAGCACAACATGTTCCATAGTCTTTCCGAGACACGATGTTAAGGAAATGGGCCTCAGATTTTCTACCAAGGGAGCTTTGTTCGGTTTCGGTGTAAATATGACTCTGGCATCTTTCCACGAAGGTGGAAGGGTGTCCGTGTCAAAACAGTCATTAAAGTACTCAGTCAGTCAGTACCTTTGGCTCTACCGTAAAGTAGAGCCAAAAAAGACTACGGAGTGCACGCGAGAACGACAGAACATGAAGCGTGTGAGCTCTGGAGTACGGGGACGGGTGAAGCCAGCGTGGCTGACGTGCTGAGCTGTGCAGGACGTGTGGCCTGAGGGGAGCGAAATGGACCGAGCTGGTGTTACCAGACTAGCTGGGACGAGCTTGGCAGTTCCCTGTGGTGAGCAAGGGTTCTGGTCGTGCTGTTCCAGTGTGCGAGCCAGAGCGAGCAGCTGATCCCGGACCGAGTGGGTTTATGAGCGCAACCAGCTACCAAAGCTGTGCTGACTTGGCTCGGGCATGGCCTCACCAGTTCGGCCAATGGCGAAGCATGTTTGAGCAACATGGCGGAAATCAGTCGAACAAGCGAACCAGGAAGCAAGAAAAATCTTATTAAGAAAACGGGTTGTGAAGTTCTAGCAACAGTATTCTATCATCAAAAGGCACAGTGGTCATAATATTTCGAGTCATTTACAACAAACAGTTTCTTGAATGCACTGCTTTCAGATTCAAGCTGCCTTGCTTCCCTAACACAAAAAAAAGAATATCAGCTTCAGCATGTTGTCGAACCTCTTGCATGTGTGGTCTTTAATTTGTGCCTTGGTTCCCCTTTGCCCTTTCCCTCCGTTTCCCTTCATTCCCCTTCTTGAAGTCCTTTTCTGACTACAAAGAACATATTGCATGAATATTAAACAAAGTTTTTTGTAAGGAGTGGTGTAATAGGCATGACTGTATGTAAAATATTATCTCATTAGGCTATATACTGTTACGATTTCCAAGCTTTTTTGTATTGATGCTACCACTAACATAATAATCACTCTTGATTCCATTTGATGATTGAATCATATTTCATCATCATCATCATCAGCCTGACTACGTCCCCTGCAGGACAAAGGCCTCTCCCATGTTCCGCCAGTTAACCCGGTCCTGTGCTTGCTGCTACCAATTTATACCCGCAAGCTTCTTAATCTCATCTGCCCACCTAACCTTCTGTCTCCCCCTAACCCGCTTGCCTTCTCTGGGAATCCAGTTAGTTACCCTTAATGACCAGCGGTTATCCTGTCTACGCGCTACATGTCCGGCCCATGTCCATTTATTCTTCTTGATTTCAGCTATGATATCCTTAACCCCTTAACCCCCGTTTGTTCCCTAATCCACTCTGCTCTCTTCTTGTCTCTTAAGGTTACACCTACCATTTTTCTTTCCATTGCTCGCAGCATCGTCCTCAATTTAATCTGAACCCTCTTTGTAAGTCTCCAGGTTTCTGCTTCGTAGCTAAGTACCGGCAAGATACAGCTGTTATATACCTTCCTCTTGAGGGATAGTGGCAATCTACTTGTCATAATTTGAGAGTGCTTGCCAAATGTGCTCCACCCCATTCTTATTCTTCAAGTTACTTTAATCTCGTGGTTCGGCTCCGTGGTTATTACCTGCCCTAAGTAGACATAGTCTTTTACAACTTGAAGTGAACTATTAACTATCTCGAAGCGCTGCTCTTTTCCGAGGTTGTTGTACATTACTTTCATTTTCTGCAGATTAATTTTAAACCCACCTTTCTGCTCTCCTTGTCTAACTCCGTAATCATGAGTTGCAATTCGTCCCCAGAGTTACTCAGCAATGCAATGTCATCGGCGAAGTGCAGGTTACTAAGGTACTCTCCATTAACTCTTATCCCTAAATGTTCCCATTCTAGGCTTCTGAAAACCTTCTGTAAGCACGCGGTAAATAGCATTGGGGAGATTGTGTCCCCCTGCCTTACACCCTTCTTGATTGGTATTCTGTTGCTTTCTTCATGAAGCACTATGGTAGCAGTTGATCCCCTGTAGATTTCATCCAGGATGTTTATATATACTTAGTCGACGCCCTGATTTTGCAGTGTCTGCATGACATACGTCAAGTAACTCACGGCCCTCAGTCCCCAGCAGCTGCGAAGCAACTGACCACGGCGGCGGTCAGATCTGCAACGCAGCAGAGGGTACTAAGAATCTCTGGATTCGGACAGGCCGCTATCGGAACCTGAACTTGGCAACGTTTAACGCTAGAACCTTATCTAGTGAGGGAAGTCTAGCTGTACTATTCGAGGAGCTAGAGGGTGTTAAATGGGA